TGTTTATGGACGATGTGGAGTTATTCAGGAAATTAAGAACTGAACATTGTGCAGAGCTACAGAAAGACCTGTCAGCTTCATCTGTGGTCTAAGGAATGGCTGTTAAGATTCAACGTTACCAAATGCAAGATAACTTACCAACAGTAAGGAGGCATATCACATGTCCCAACTGAACAAAGAAAAAGCATTAATGGAGACCAAATGTGAAAAGGCCTGGGTGTGTATGTCGACAATAAACTGAAGTTCTCGGACCATTGTGAGAAGAAGGTGAGTGACTAAGCTAGTAAGTCTTTACTGTACTGTAATTTTTCCTCTTCTCCACTCATCGCCTTGTCAGTCATTTGGTTGGTTAGTTAAATCTGTTACACACTGTTGGCAAGTTCAGATACCTGATGGTCCGTCCCTCATAACACTTTAAAAGTGAGGTGCTTCCCCTTGTGGACTACTGTCACCCTTTCTGGTCCCTGAGATATGCAAGAGGCTGTCAGTTGATTGAAAATGTCCAAAGGGCCACCAGATGGTGCCTGCACTATGGCACCTCAGTTAACCAGAGATATGAGAACACCTACAACTGCCTATCTTATGATAGACAGGCAAAGTGTGAATTAATATAAGTTCATAAACACCTCAGAGGACAGTACTCACTTGAGTGTCCCTATCTTGATTCTCGACTTATGTTGGGACGGTGGTCTCCCTGCTACGGCAGAGGCTTCAGAGATTATTTTTACCCAACCTCAGTAATTTTACAGTTATTAGCTATTGTTGCACTGCTCTCCAGGCCTTGGCTTATGTCTCATCACCCCATCCCTTGGTTATAGCTACTTACAGTGGCTGTTTCTCATTCCATGTTGGGGCCGGAACACAGTTTTTGCTGGGTACTGGCACGTGGGGAGGAGGGAAAATGAGCGTGCTGATGCTGTGGCAAAAGCAGCCGCTTCTCACCCTGTGTCACCTCATTCCCCTCTCTTGTCTTCCCAGCGAACTCAGATGTTGGAATGTAGACTATGTCTCGCTGCCATACGGCAGGGTGGGGAGGACTGCCGATTGATATACGTGCAGCTCTGTAGATAATTTCAGCTCCCTGCAGCTGAAGACACAGGTGCAGAGTCTACCAAAGGCTTGAGATGCACATTTGATCCGATGTTGAATCTCTTCATCAATGTGGTGGACAGGTGGGAGCCAAGATACTGTAAGTGGGTAACATTAGAGAGGATAGTACCATTAAGCTGGATGGATGGTGGAGTTGTGGCTGAACCAGGGGCAGGCTGAAAGAGAATCTGAGTCTTTCATACATTCACCTCAAGGCCGAAGTGTGTATACGCATCTGCGTAGGTGTTCACGATCTCCTGTAGGTCCTGTTCAGTGTGAGCGACAAGGGTGAGGTCGTCTGCATGCTGAAGTTCAGTGATTGAAGCAGCCGACACCTTTGTTCCTCCCTGGAGTTGTCTTGTGTTGAAAAGACCTCCCCCCCCCCTTCATCTGGTACTCGATGTCCACCCCGCCGGCTAAATTGACACTGGTGCCAGTACACGTCCTTGTTTTACCCCTGTTTAGATGGGGAAGATCTCAGACTGGGTACCATTGTGCAGGACACTGCCATTCATGCCATCTTAGAGATGCCTCACTATGGTGAGCAACCAAAACAACTGAGGGTCTGCCAAAGGGCCTCCCTGTTGACTCAGTTGGAGGCCTTAGTAAGGTTGATGAAGGCCATGTACAAGTATGACGCTGTGACGCTGTTCTCTGCATTTTTCCTCTGTCTGACGGGCAGTGATGATCATTTCAGCAGTGCCACTGGATGGCCTAAAGCCACATTGAGATTCTGGGAGAAAGTTTTCCGCCTCAGGAAGAAGTCTGTGTAGGAGGACTCCGGTGATAATCTTGCCAGCTATGGACAGTACCGTGATCCCATGGTGGTTGCCACAGTCTGACTGGTCTCTCTTGTTCTTATAAATATTGACGATGGAGGCGTCTTTAAGATCTTGGGGGGGGGATTTCCTCTTCCTCCCATATATTCTCCAGGAGAGAGTAGACACAGCTGGTAAACAGAGGTCCTCCTGCTTTATGCATCAGGCCTTGAGGCTTTGTTGTTTTTCATCTGCTTGATGGCAGTAGCTACCTAATCACAGAATGGAGGATAGCTGAGGTGGATCAGTTCTGGATGCTGAAGGACCTGCTGGGTAGTCAAGACATCCACATTGTTAATTCAGTTGAGCAACGAATGGCAGAGCTCTTTCCAGAGCTGACAGATGCCTTCTTCGTCTTTAATTAGGGATTTGCCATAGGATGAGTGGAGGGGAGCCGCACCATTAGTAGTTGGCCTATACATTGCTTTAGTGGAGTTAAAAAATTCATGCATCTTATGATAATCCAAATTTGTTTGCATTTCTCATGTTTATTTTTCAACACTTACATAGTGTGTCTTATAGGCCACACACACACTCATGTTCAGGTTATCTCATAGTTCACACACACACAAGTACAGGGTATCTCATAATTCACACACACACTCATGTTCAGGTTATCTCATAGTTCACACACACACAAGTACAGGGTATCTTATAGTTCACACACACACACAAGTACAGGGTATCTCTTCACACACACACAAGTACAGGTATCTCATAGTTCACACACACACAAGTACAGGGTATCTTATAGTTCACACACACACACACAAGTACAGGGTGTCTTATAGTTCACACACACACACAAGTACAGGGTGTCTTATAGTTCACACACACACACACAAGTACAGGGTGTCTTATAGTTCACACACACCGCCAGGGAATCTTATAGTTCACACACACACACGTCCAGGGTATCTTATAGTTCACACACACACGTCCAGGTGTCTTATAGTTCGACACACACGTACAGGGTGTCTTATAGTTCACACACACACAAGTACAGGTATCTTATAGTTCACACACACACACGTCCAGGGTATCTTATAGTTCACACACACCGCCAGGGTATCTTATAGTTCACACACACACACGTCCAGGGTGTCTATAGTTCACAGACACACACACGTACAGGGTGTCTTATAGTTCACACACACACACAAGTACAGGGTATCTTATAGTTCACACACACACGTCCAGGGTATCTTATAGTTCACACACACCGCCAGGGTATCTTATAGTTCACACACACACACGTCCAGGGTGTCTTATAGTTCACACACACACACACACACACGTCCAGGGTATCTTATAGTTCACACACAAGTCCAGGGTGTCTTATAGTTCACACACACGTCCAGGGTATCTTATAGTTCACACACACACACACACACAAACCAGGGTGTCTTATAGTTCACACACACACACACGTCCAGGGTATCTTATAGTTCACACACACCTCCAGGGTGTCTTAGCAGTCTCACACACACACACGTCCAGGGTATCTTATAGTTCACACACACACACGACCAGGGTATCTTATAGTTCACACACACACAAGTGCAGGGTGTCTTATAGTTACACACACACAAAAGTACAGGGTATCTTATAGTTCACACACACACACACACACACGTCCAGGGTATCTTATACAGTAGTTCACTCACACACAAGTGCAGGTTGTCTTATAGTTCACACACACACAAATACAGGGTGTCGTTTAGTTCTCACACACACACAAGTACAGGGTGTCTTATAGTTCACACACACGTCCAGGGTATCTTATAGTTCACACACACACAAGTACAGGGTGTCTTTTAGTTCACACACACGTCCAGGGTATCTTATAGTTCACACACACACAAGTACAGGGTGTCTTATAGTTCACACACACACACACAAGTACAGGGTGTCTTATAGTTCACACACACACACAACGTCCAGGGTGTGCTATAGTTCACACACACACGTCCAGGGTGTCTTATAGTTCACACACACAAGTACAGGGTGTACATAGTTCACACACACACGTCCAGGGTGTCTTATAGTTCACACACACACAAGTACAGGGTGGCCTTATGGTTCACAATACACACGTCCAGGTATCTTATAGTTCACACACACAAGTACAGGGTAAGTCTTATAGTTCACACACACACACGTCCAGGGTGTCTTATAGTTCACACACACACACACGTCCAGGGTGTCTTATAGTTCACACACACACACGTCCAGGGTGTCTTATAGTTCACACACACACACACACACACTCATATACAGAGTATTCCACTTGTGCTCCTTCATTGACCAACACAAGTCTCTCATCAGTGTTTGGAGTTCTCTCCCTTAAAGTTCCTTCATTGACCAACACAAGTCTCTCATCAGTGTTTGGAGTTCTCTCCCTTAAAGTTCCTTCATTGACCAACACAAGTCTCTCATCAGTGTTTGGAGTTCTCTCCCTTAAAGTTCCTTCCCTCTTAGTTCCCTTCATTGACCAACACAAGTCTCTCATCAGTGTTGGTATTACAAGTGGTAATACTTGTTTTCTTTTCTTTATTTTGTTCAATGTTTCATAAGTCTTTCATGGGTGTTAATAATACATATATATATATTTCTTTCTTTTATTTTTTCAATGTTACAGGTGATGGCTGCTGCTTCCAGCTCCTTGGGTCCTGGCTGCTCCATCCATCTGGCCCCCTCTGCAGACAAGAGAGCCGCTGCGTCCTGGGCTCCATCCATCTGGCCCCCTCTGCAGACAAGAGGGCCGCTGCGTCCTGGGCTCCATCCATCTGGTCCCTCTGCAGACAAGAGGGCCGCTGCTTCCTGGGCTCCATCCATCTGGCCCCCTCTGCAGACAAGAGGGCAGCTGCTCCCTCCCAGTGGCTCACTCTTCAAGATATAAGAAGAGAGATTAGCAACTCTACTATTTCAAAGGCTACTCCTCTCCCCCTCCCCCTCTCCACTCCCTACTACTACTCTACCCTCACTCCTACCTACCTACCTACCTACCCCTTCCCCTTCCCCCTCCCCACCCCCCTTCCCCCCACCCCCCTTCCCCTCCCCCACCCCCCCCCCTCCCTTCCCCTCCCCCACCGCCATCTGCAAGAAAAAGAGAAGTGTGATTAGTATTCCCCACCCCTCCCTCTGCTGCCTCCACCACCACAGCTCCTGTAAAAGATGAGAGAATTGTCATTAGTATACACCTCCTCCCTCTGCTGCTGCTGCCACTCCTGTAAAATATGAGAAGTGTTAGTATATTGTACTGTATACTGGACCATACTTCCCTCACAACTGCTGCTTCAACCAACACCACTGCTGTCGCTGACATCACCACCACACTCCTGTAAAGAAAAGAGAATTATATGTAAAGCTAAATAATAAATATGAAGACTTACTCAAAACATTTAATTTTCCCAATATTAAAAGTAAATGTGAGCTGCTGATAATGTGGCCTCATCCACTGTACTACAGGGTGAGCATAAAGTCTTTCCCTGATTACAAACATTTATTACACAAAACATATGCTAGGAACAAACATACAGTACAGTTTTTTGCAAAGAAACTTTTTGTGATAAGGTACAAGTTGCAAAAAACTGTATGTTTGTACCTAACATATGTTTTGTGTAATAAATATTTGTAATCAGGGAAAGACTTTATGCTCACCCTGTAGTACTCAAGCTAACATGACCAACAAATATGAGCAAATTTCTCAAATATAAGAGAAAAAGGAACAAGTGAGACAAATAACTCACACACACTTGCCGGTGCTCCTCTCTTTCACTCTATCCTCTTGTCGGTTCACTAATCAGTCAAGTGGCTGGTCATTTTTCTGCTACACAGTTGACAAGTACTGGATATGTACAGGCTCTTGAATGTACCCACTCCAGTGTTGGTCAAGTCTGGTCTTCAAGGAACTCGCATCCAGTGCCGGCACAGCGGTCACTGGCAGGTCGTATATCTTCTGGCCAGTGGCATGAATCTTGTCATCTTTGGGTTGATCCAAGTTGTACGGGAACCTAAAATGAGGAGATCCGTCAACGTTAAGTGAATTTATTCCATAAATATCTGTACAAGGATAAACTTAACACTTGGTTTCTATAATTCATCAACTGATTTAAAGATGAGTCACGCAATATTATGAAGTGCATCTTAGTTTTCTCTCGTACTTTTACTGAACCACCTTACAATATTAACTGATATTTTTCAAGTAATCAAAAACAATATACAATAAACCCTGGCTAGTCACAGGGGTTAGGTTCCAAGGAATGGCACAAATTGGTAAAACCGTGAATAGCAACTTAGTGCACTACTGTATACTTACACTGTGTATGAAAAACTTAAGTCACTAATACTACTTACCTTCATATGTGGAAGTTTGGAGATGATGAAGTGTACTGTACATAGGGAGACATCTGGTTACTGAAGCATAGGGAGATCATCAGGATCACTGGTGGAAGAGGGTGATGCAATGGTGGGTGGTGGAGAGGCCTGCAGCCGGGAGGTGACAAATGGCCAGGAGAGGGAGACAAATCAGCTGGGTGAGCAGCCCAGCTGTTGGTCAGGTCTCTGTTACACACTGTTGGCAAGTACTGGGCATGAACTGGCTCCTAAATGTATCAGTGTTGGTCAAGTCTGGTCTTAAAGGCGCTCACGTCCAGTGCCGTCACAACAGTCACTGGCAGCTCATTACAAAGCCATCAAGGAGGATGACATCAAACACCAACTTCCTCCAGACCTGAAAATAAAACAATTATGTAGACATATTTTTGGGGCATTTATGAAAATTTATTCCATAAACATCACTTTCCTCAATGTAATCTAAGTTGTTCTATTAAGAAAAATTTCCCTTATATGTTAAAATTGTAACATTAATTTCCTATACTGCTTCCCATTCCAGTAAGGTACTGTTAAATGATTCACCTCAAGCAAAATGTTCTGTTAACTTTTCCCTTTACTTGCTAAACACTACATTGTAATCCTGTAGGACCAGACCCCACCTAAGCAAACCCTGGCTGGATATTAGGATGATTAAGTGATCTGTTTTAAGGCACTTGCAAAACTTATAATAATAATCATACCACTAAACCTTACACAGTATAATTATTAAACAATTACAAGACTGTTCACACCCAATCAAGACCTATATCATACAGGAGCAGTTGAAAGTGTGTGCGTGGTGAGTGCGTGGTGCGTGTGTGGTGCGTGTGTGGTGCGTGCGTGCATCGTGCGTGTGTGTGTGTGTGTGTGTGTGGGTTTTTACCGTTCATACTAGAGGGTCGAGGAAGCCACCACCAACTGATGCTCCTACGTCTCTAACAGGAATTGTGAAGCTCGTGGACGCTCCCTTCTTACTAGGATCTGACATCAGGGACGGGCGAGTCTCAGCCATACATATTGGAAGGTCACTGAAGCCCTGAAAAAGCCAATATATTTGATCATGTGTCCATCAATCAATCACCAACAACACTCGTACTAAACCTCATAAAATGCAGCAGAAAATTGTTGGATATTTTAATTGTTATATAACAGTACTGTACAGTATTACCAATCAAAGATAGACAAAACCTGTTGAGCAGAACCAACCAGTTATAAATGGATCAACTCTCCTTATACAGTACATCATTGGTACAGTTATATGACATTCTGCTGCAAGTTGCTAGAGGAGTCACACACACACACACATACATACTGTACTGTATATGCAAATGAACAAGATTAAACTCAGGTACCAAGGTGAATTACCCTTAATATACAGAATAATCAAAGTTATTTGATGATAGAGCAGTTTAGCAGCAGTTGTGGGTTAAGGCATGGGTCATATAACACACACATAAGCCTACTGTGTACTGACCTGTTTCCTGTAGTGGTTAGCTTAGGTTGGATGTATGTCGTCGGCGCCGTATATCTTCTGGCCAGTGGCAAGAATCTTGTCATCTTTGGGTTGATCCAAGTTGTACGGGAACCTAAAATGAGGAGATCTGTCAACGTTAAGTGAATTTATTCCATAAATATCTGTACAAGGATAAACTTAACACCTGGTTTCTATAATTCATCAACTGATTTAAAGATGAGTCACGCAACATTATGAAGTGGATCTTAGTTTTCTCTCGTACTTTTACTGAACCACCTTACAATATTAACTGATATTTTTCAAGTAATCAAAAACAATATACAATAAACCCTGGCTAGTCACAGGGGTTAGGTTCCAAGGAATGGCACAAATTGGTAAAACCGTGAATAGCAACTTAGTGCACTACTGTATACCTACACTGTGTATGAGAAACTTAAGTCACTAATACGACTTACCTTCATATGTGGAAGTTTGGAGCTTGATGAAGTGTACTGTACATAGGGAGACATCTGGTTACTGAAGCATAGGGAGATCATCAGGATCACTGGTGGAAGAGGGTGGGTGGTGGAGAGGCCTGCAGCCGGGAGGTGGCAAATGGCCAGGAGAGGGAGACAAATCAGCTGGGTGAGCAGCTGGTTCTTGAAAAACATCGCAATTGGTAGTTGTTTCCTCTTGGCTTTGAGGTCTTTAAACATTTCTTGGTACGGAAATAATACCTGGTTGATTCCTCGGACCATCCTAAGGCTCCGTTCCATGGAAGGGCCGTGGTCAACAATGGAATCAGCTACCACCTTTACCTGTCAAAATGGTTCACCCAAATTGTTCAAGCTCCAACCTTCTTGTTGTAATTCCATAATTTCTTCCTCTTCATCTCTCTCGGCACTTTATACCAACTCTTTCAAATTCTCTTCTGTCAGTTCCTCTCCATGCCCATCAATCAGCTCTTCCACGTCTTCAGCAGCCATATCCACAAACCCCTCACCACCCAACTGACGTGCAACACTCACAATGTCATTCACATCCTTTACTATAGACGGAAATCCCTGAAGTTATTCATACACTCAGGCCATAAGGTGCGCCAACAAGCATTAACTGTCTCTGGTTTGAGTTCATTGAATGCTTCACTAATGTAGTCTGCAATGCTGTACTCCTTCCAACGCTTGCAAACATTGAGAGGCTGAATAAAAGCAGTGGTGTTAGGGGTACTGTAGGAACACCCTCTACAACTGGGTGGCCTGGTGCATTGTCTATCAATAGTAACACACTGAATTCCATCTTCTTGGAGGCAAGATACTTTTCCACTTCCAGGATGAAGCATTTATGGAACCAATCCATGAATGCTTGCACAGTTACCCATGACTTTTTGTTGGACTGCCAAAAAACTGGCAAAAGATTCTTGTTTTCACCCTTTAAAGCCCGAGGGTTTGCCGAGCGGTAAAGAAAGCCAGGTTTGTCAGGGTCATCACTGACTTGCCTTTTACATTTCACTCGACTAGCATCACTAGCAGTCTTTTAGGGGCCATTTTCACACAGTATCACAAAAGTTTTGAGAGTACAACATGAGATGCTGTGTCACAGGCAATGGCTGAGCACAAACAGAGGGAGAGGAGACACTGCAGGCACGTGGGGTGACTCATTGTGCTGCAGGAGAGGCTTGCCACCATAGCCACCATCTACTTACTGTGAATCGTGGAAATTGTAAATTGCAAACCTATGAATGGGCAAGGGTTTACTGTAATCAGCAATCTCTTTAACATAATATGTTAAATGTCTTCAAGCTTCCACAATAAATTACTGTTGCAGTTTTTGTTTATCCTCTCCTCTTCCCCACTTGGGCTGTTGGTCAGGTCTCAGTTACACACTGTTGGCAAGTACTGGGCATGAACTGGCTCCTGAATGTATCAGTGTTGGTCAAGTCTGGTCTTAAAGGCGCTCACGTCCAGTGCCGTCACATCAGTCACTGGCAGCTCATTACAAAGCCATCAAGGAGGATTACATCAAACACCAACTTCCTCCAGACCTGAAAATAAAACAATTATGTAGACATATTTTTTGGGCATAAATGAAAATTTACTCCATAAACATCACTTTCCTCAATGTAATCTTAGTTGTTTTATTAAGAAAAATTTCCCTTATACGTACAAATTGTAACATTAATTTCCTATACTGCTTCCCATTCCAGTAAGGTACTGTTAAATGATTCACCTCAAGCAAAATGTTCTGTTAACTTTTCCCTTTACTTGCTAAACACTACATTGTAATCCTGTAGGACCAGACCCCACCTAAGCAAACCCTGGCTGGATATTAGGATGATTAAGTGATCTGTTTTAAGGCACTTGCAAAACTTATAATAATAATCATACCACTAAACCTTACACAGTATAATTATTAAACAATTACAAGACTGTTCACACCCAATCAAGACCTATATCATACAGGAGCAGTTGAAAGTGCGTGCGTGGTGCTTGCGTGGTGCGTGCGTGGTGCGTGCGTGCTGCATGCGTGGTGCGTGCGTGCATCGTGCGTGTGTGTGTGTGTGGGTTTTTACCGTTCATACTAGAGGGTCGAGGAAGCCACCACCAACTGATGCTCCTACGTCTCTCACAGGAATTGTGAAGCTCGTGGACGCTCCCTTCTTACTAGAATCTGACATCAGGGACGGGTGAGTCTCAGCCATACATATTGGAAGGTCACTGAAGCCCTGAAAAAGCCAATATATTTGATCATGTGTCCATCAATCAATCACCAACAACACTCGTACTAAACCTCATAAAATGCAGCAGAAAATTGTTGGATATTTTAATTGTTATATAACAGTACTGTACAGTATTACCAATCAAAGATAGACAAAACCTGTTGAGCAGAACCAACCAGTTATAAATGGATCAACTCTCCTTATACAGTACATCATTGGTACAGTTATATGACATTCTGCTGCAAGTTGCTAGAGGAGTCACACACACACACACACATATATATATTCAAACATGCGCACACACCTCTGACTTTATCGTCAGTTTCAGAGAATTGATCTCCTAAATCAGCCAGTCTCCCTCACTATCAGCTCTGTCTACCTCCAGTAATCACCAGATCCTTCTCTCTATCCTCCCTGTCTACAGATTTCTTCCCTTCAGTTGTGAATGTTAATATGGAGTCTGTAATCCGTATTCACTTTACATTCTCACACTTTACACACTGTAATGCATTATTTCAGCATTCTACACACTTTACTGTATTATTTCAGCATTCTACACACTATACTGCATTATTTCAGTATTCTACACACTGTACTGCATTATTTCAGCATTCTACACACTGTACTGTATTATTTCAGCATTCTACACACTGTACTGTATTATTTCAGCATTCTACACACTGTACTGCATTATTTCAGCATTCTACACACTGTACTGCATTATTTCAGCATTTAACAAGATCTTACCATATATAGATAATAATGGTTGCCCCTCGTGTAACAAGGATGACCGGCCCAAGAGCCACCTAGGCATGAATTTGTTTAAGGTGTAGAAGCTGTCAGCAACACAACAACCACACCCTGAGTTAACGAGCTGCATGACCCAGTGTCAAGGAATAGTCCGAGAAGACCGGACAACTCGCCAACTGCACTGGCTAACCATTAACCCGGAATACGATCCGCAAATCGATTAACATCCAGGTTCCCAATTACTGCTGGGTAGACAGAGGCAAATGGCAGAAAGAAACTTGCCCATAGCTTCACGCTGCCCGGGGATCGAACCCGAGTCCACTCGCTTGTGAGGCAAGCATGCTGACCATTACACCAGAGGTGCATCATGGTGGCTCTGGAAGGTAAATTATTTTTAATAAATAAAAAAAATAAAAACTTAAGAGTCATAACTTAAGTCTTTGGCCGCTGCATTTGTCAGTTGTTGGAGATGTGCACGAGGGTGGTGGTTGTTCCTGTACTCAACAGGTGGGGGTAGTTGTTCCTGTACTCAACAGGTGAGGTAGTGCTGTACTCAACAGGTGAGGTAGTTGCTCCAGTACTCAACAGGTGAGGTAGTTGCTCCAGTACTCAACAGGTGAGGTAGTTGCTCCAGTACTCAACAGGTGAGGTAGTTGCTCCAGTACTCAACAGGTGAGGTAGTTGCTCCAGTACTCAACAGGTGAGGTAGTTGCTCCAGTACTCAACAGGTGAGGTAGTTGCTCCAGTACTCAACAGGTGAGGTAGTTGCTCCAGTACTCAACAGGTGAGGTAGTTGCTCCAGTACTCAACAACCATCTGTAAAGAAGATATATCTATTATTATACTGTAGTCAAATCACAAAGCATCATTTTATTACAACATTCCTTAACCCTGTATGATGTAGTGTGGCCAGACAGAACTGATCCTGAGGGTCACCATCAGGTTATTGGTCCAGTGAACACAATATCCTGGTGTATTTTTGTGTGTCATGTGAACAGTGACCTACAGAAGCCCTCTCACCACAGCAATAAAACAACATATACAAGATTAATACATGGTGGTGCAGAATGTGTGTAAAATTACTCATTACAAATACGAGGCGAACATTCTCCCTCCATTTTGTACTGTACTGTTATTTAACAAATATAATTAAGGGCCTAAGACATATAGATAAATTATGTGTGTTGTCTAGCTAATAAAAGGTGCATGTGTATGGTAACAGTGTTTTTCTTTGCCTAAAAATGGATATAAAGGAATATAAACACATCACTTGTAAAGGAGTGGAACCTAACACAACCTAACCAAACGTAACTTATCCTAATATAACTTAATTTATTGTGACCAAACCTAATTTGTCTTAATCTAATCTAACCAAACCTAATGTAACCTAACATATCCTAACCCAACTAAAATAATATAATGTACTGTGGTTCCTAATAATCCTTAAATCTTTATATTTTTATAATTTTTTATTAATAATCTGTAACAAATTTTATTTTGTTAAATTATTACTAAAGTTCCATTATGTGAACTTTTAGTTATTACAATTTCTATATCTAAGGTTAATTTCTTTAATATAACTCTATCTTGAATTAACTACATAATAATTATTCCATATCTAGTTAATAAGTAATAACATTCTTCTTATTATTCTTTATTATTATTATTATCAACAACAGAATCTCGAGAATATTATCTTTACATTCAATATTTCAGACAAATCAAAGTTAATTTTCTTCCCGCCCAAATGTCCTGTATTATTACTATTGTTATTGTTATTATTAGCCATTTAATTACACGTGGTGTCTTTAGTACTACGATAACACCTTTAAACTCATTCAAAGTCATTTAATTAAAGCTTTAATCTCATTCAAAGTCATTTAATTAAAGCTTTAATCTCATTCAAAGTCATTTAATTAAAGCTTTAATCTCATTCAGTCATTTAATTAAAGCTTTAAACTCATTTAATTAAAGCTTTAATCTCATTCAGTCATTTAATTAAAGCTTTAATCTCATTCAGTCATTTAATTCCAGTGTTTAAATCTCATTCATGAGTTTGTTTACATCCGTTTTCTCTGATGTTATAAAAGAAAACGAAACTTTTGTATGGGAGGACTTTTTTACTTGTTTATTGTGGTAGGTAAAGTCCCCTTCACTAGTGCTTTTACAAGGACTTGTCATAGAAACATTCCTTAAATCATTATATTGAGATATTTGTTTTAATATTGTTTTAATGTGACTCCATAGTATGTTTACTATTGCAAGTTTCCTTCTGTCTAATGTAAATAAACACAACTCTACCACAAAACCTGATGAGCCCCTATAAACGCAGTAAGGTTAGGAACTGAAAGTTAATTTTGATGTATATTTTCTGCTAGGTACACCATCAGAAATCTTGTAATAGTTTATTTTAAGCATCGTCTGCTCTACAAACAAAATCAAACAACAATAAATAATGCAGTATTTTTGGTGATTTAAGTAAGAACCACAAATAAAATATTAAGTCTTATTTCAGCAAAATATGAACCACTCAGCACTAGTAAACTGAGTTAACATTGCTCGGTGGTGCACACTTTCTTAAGGTATATACATTTATATTCCTTGTTTGATCAATGAAGCACCAAGAGTGAGTTGATAGTAATGAATGGAAAAACTAATTACATGCTGTATCATAGTAATTTTTATCACTGATCGAGCAGTTAGCCGCTTGGACGATCGGTCACTATGTTAAGCACTGTTGGCAAGTACTGGGCATGTACTGGCTTCTGAATGTATCTCAACCTTCAATTTTGTCTGCCAATATATTGTGACACATAAAACAATCTTCTATAATAATTTTTCCAGTCAATTTCTCATCCATATATTAACAAACTGTGCACAAACTATTTCAATATCCTATATCCATAACCTATGAGCTGAGACAGGAACTATGAGTAAATAACCTCATTATTAAGGATTTAACATTATATATCCAGACTAAAGATAAAAATAACTCAATATAGCGAGAAAAATGTTGGTGACAAACCCTAAATAAGTAAATAAACACAAATAACAGCAACAGGTGTTAACCAGGCAACCATAAACAGACCTCAGTGACAGGAACAATTAATACAATATAAAATAAAATCACTAAAATTCTGTGTGATTATGGTAGAATTAAACTTGTAGATGATGACAATTTACCTTATTGTAGAGGCTGGTACAAGTGTTCTCTTAAGTGGTGTTGGTGTTTACGGGTGCTGTTAAAGCCCACCTCCTGGGCCCTCGTAGATTCTCTTCCTGTCACCTCACAAGGACTCCGGCTCATACTTTACACTGAATTAATACCTTCTTGAGTAGTTCATTTCCTTCCTCTCAAAACTATTACGCGTATTAATCTCTATTAATGTTTTATGGCAAATATTAAAATCTAAATCACTTGGAGCTGCCGAAAGCCAGAGTTAAATCTCAACAATGGCGACCAATAGAAAACGGATTATGGCCAATAGAAAAGAAAATGGTGTATGTTTTTCTCATATATGACGGTTTATCATAACTTTAGGGAGTAATGACTATGAATTAAAGAAGAAATAGGAATTAAATGATATGAATATTACTTAATTAAACTTAAAACACACGTCACAGCTCCTAATTCCCCTGGTTTGAGCTGTATAAGCCAGTCTTCTCATTCTCTATCAACTTTTTTAAGGAGTGACTGTGTTATTTTCGACAACTCAGCTCCCGGGGCTACACCATAATATTTCTTATATGATTATATTTATTTTATGAACTTGAAATTTCCAAAACTGATAAAACAAAGGATGTATTCATTTCAAAGCCAGTTTAAGCTTTTTTCGTACAAATCTAATCGTGTTTTTTAATGTAAATTTGTGCCTTGCTCATTTCATTTATCATTTCACCTTTTATCCTCTTATTGGACGTTCAGGCGGTAAGTGTATATGTTAATTTATTATGAACTTTATTGTCAAGTATCAGTAAAGAAGGAAACTTTAATAACCATCGAAAATCTGTCGTATTTGGTAGTGTCACCCTGAATAACGCCCTTCTCACATCTGTCCCCGGCCGAGGATTGAACATAGGACACAAGTGAGAGATATTGTACTTTACTCTTACTTTACTTTATTCTCTACGCCTCTGGTCGGCTTGTTAGCTCCTTGGGCAGTTAGTCACGACTCAGTTACACACTGTTGGCAAGTACTGGGCATGCACCGGCTCTTGAATGTACCTTAACGTGCTCCAGTATTGGTCAAGTCTGGTCTTGAAAGAGCTCACATTCGGTGCCGTCACAACACTTTCTGGCAGGTTGTTCCAAGAGTTTACAACTCTCACTCCGAAAAAGTTTGCCCTCACAGTTTTCTGGACCTGCGGCTTCTTCAACCTTGAGCTGTGACCCCTTGTGGGGCGAGCGTCCGCCAGCTCCAAGTAAGGACACTCGACTGAGTAGTGCCCCTTGAGATGCTTATACACCTAAATTAGTTCGCCCCCTTGCCAGTCTGTAGTATAAGCTAGGCAAGTTCAGGCGCTCCAATCTCTCAGGGTAGTTGAGAAATTATATATGTATGTTGTGTTGTCAATAGTAAGAGAAACAATTGAGACTCTGCAATTGTGTATAAATGAGGAAGAAAGTCACTTCATCAACCTGGGACGTGGTGTCATATGGCAGCAGGGTCTACCATTAGACAACACATTATGCTTCCAATATCCTCCCAGGCAGTAATACCTCCCTGTTTGATAGCTGCCTACTACCTACTAAAGTAAACTAAAGTACATTTAGTGGATGTAATTAGTCGCTTTTCATCCAGTGGGCATTATCCTACACACAGAATGTTACGTCTCTTCTTATATTCCAAATGACTCGGAGAAACAATTTAATTTGGTATATTCCTCTTATAGTGAGCAGTATAAGTAGCAATACTAAAACCTCACGCATAGTGAACTTACCTCCAGCAAGAGACGACTTAATTACGCCTATGGTTATAATATTCTCAGCAGCCAGCAAGTGTACAACCCTCACAGCTCACGGCTGCAGTTGCAGTAGTATCAGTGACCATGGGTACAACTTTTCTTCAAGGACGTCCACTGATATGACACTGCTATGATGAGAGACTTCTCTATCAATAAGAGCGAATAGTCCCTCCCCCTTCACTATCACAAACCTATGGTGCCAGTCCAGAAAATTGTCGTCTTATTCCCTCTAATAACCTGACTGACAAGGCTCCCTGTTTTGTTGACAAGGTATACTGTAATTCACTAGACTGCAGTCAACAACACAACTACCTGGAAAGTTATGTTGATACAGGATAATTTTAACTAGTCCAACTATGAAAAACTTTAGCTGGAGTGACTCATCAAGTCCAGCTAAGAAAGATGTTGGATAAGCGCCATTACAGAAGTGTGAGATTCAGCTACGCGTACTGTGAGGTAGCGCGTATTACCGACACCGCGACGGGGACGCATCTCACATGGTGTCATGTTGGCCCTTAAGAGGGCCAGTTTATTCTTCCTCGCTGTGTGTGTTGAAGGTTCATCTACTCTGACGTGAAGGAAACCTCGGGCTTGACTATGTGCTTCGCTACCCAGCTCTCCATCTCGATCAAGGGATCGAAGTAGTGGTCGGGTCCTCCTTGTTCCTGTATAAACTTACGGAGTGTGGCGAGTGCATGCATAGCCTCGCTAGGGAGGGTGGTGCCCGCCGCGCTCCCTGCCTCAGTGCCCTCCCCCCCTAGGCCTTGGTCCGTGGCACCGTCTTCACTCTGCTCCATCGTCGTCTGCACTTGGCTGTCCACGTTGAGGTAGGATTCAAAGGTGACATCTCCTGGAATGTCAATCCCGGAGCGTCTAGCCCGTTCCAAGAGTGCGTGTTCGTCCTCGCCTCCCAGCGTAGCATCGTCCAGGTCTTCTAGTGGCTCCAGCCCCACTTGTTTGAAGCTCTTCACGATGAGTTCTGTCTTGATTTGTTTCCACGCTCCCTCCAGCAGCCCCATCGCCTCCAGCAATGTTATCTCGTACTCTTGTCCCTTCTCGTTATACTCAATTAGCCTCTCCAACACCGAGCGCCGGTACACAGTCTTTAAATTCTGGATGACGCCTTGTTCAACTGGCTGTAGCTGTGAGGTAGAGTCTTTTGGAAGGAATATCAGCTGAACACTATTAAGGTCATCTACGTGTGGATGTGCTGGACAACTGTCAACTAAAATTATTATATTTCTATTAAGATTTTGGTACTGTTCATCAAGCTGCCGAACCCAGCTTTCAAAAATAGATGACGTCATCATTGCTGAGTCATTAGCTTCATAAGGCAGTGGCAGTGTGTCTACATCCATGACGGCTCTCGGGTCCTTCATCTGACCAATCACCAACAGAGGCAGTTTCTCGCTACCGTCCATGTTGACGCCAACCATGAAGGTGAGTCGCTCCTTGACCCAGGTCCATTTGTGACCGTCCTCACCCTTCACAGCCAGAGATCTGTCCGGCAGAAGGTTGTAAAAGAGAGCCGCTTCACTCGCACTAAAAATATCTCGAGGTTTGTTGTCTCTCAGGAGGGAAGGAACTGTGTTATAAAACCAGGTACTCGTAGGGTCTTCCGTGGGTGGTGGAGCCACGGCGTCTTCTGAGGGTTCTTCTCCAAGTGCTATAGGGAACCATTTATTCAACTGGTCTTGTGTTTCTGTCACCGAGGTAGAGTTAATGTTAGGGAGTGTATTAGGAAACCAGGCGTTAGCTGAGTTATCTGTTGGCGCTGCAGGTGTAGTTTCTACTGCAGGCATTGCAGGCGGGAACCACGAGTTGGGTGAGGTCTCAGAGTCTGAGCTGGCCTCTGTCGGGACTGGTGGTAGTGGACTAGGTTGTCGGTCTGCTGGCTCATTGAAAGTGCCGCCACCTGTATCCTGGTTATTTTTGGGGTTAAAGGAGAGTCCATGCCTCGCCTTAAACCGATCCAGCCACCCAACGCTACAGGAAAACTCCGGGTGACCGAGTTCTTGAGCCAAGGTGACGCCCATACCTTGGAGGACCGGACCCGTGATGGGAATATTTGCTGCCCTGGCGTACCTAAACCAGGTCAGAAGGGCCTCCTCCACATCGGGGTAAGCTGCCGTACGCATGCGTCTCCGTCCAGCAGCATACCGTTGAGATTTGAACTGTGTCAGGATTCTATCTTTGTTTTTCATTATGGTAGAGAGTGTGGAGGGCCGTAAGCCCCACTCTCTGGCTATATCTGCCTTCTTCTTGGCACCTCTCGCTTCCACTTGTTCTATAAGCTTAGCTTTGTTTGCTATTGTCAGTTCTTGTCGATCACGTTTAGCTCTCGGGTTCCCAACACCAGGAATACTCATTCCAAACGGCAGACCCAAATTTTTCATTAACTCGAAGGGAAAAGGAAGCCCTGAGGTTTTTGCTGCCTCTGTGGATGATGGAGTTAAGTCCCCTTTGTCTGTATCACAATGTTGACTCTCGCTCTTCCCGCCCTCACTAGACTGTGAATCATCTCTATCGAGAGGTGGAACACCGCCCTTCGTTATCTTGGATAACTGAGCGAGGTATTTCGCCATCTCAAAGGGCGGAGGATCACCTTTACTATCATGGGACTGTTTGTTATCACTGTCGTCAGTATCCATCTCTTCACACGGCGTCGCCAGGCTAACACCATCTCTCTCCTCACCACCGTTCACTTTCCCTACACTTGTCTTTCCTCGTCTTGATCTGTCACAATAAGGACCTGATTTTCTGCTTTTTTCCGATTTAGATGCTGAGGCTTTCGCCATTTCCAGCTGTTTGGAGTACATCTTGGCGATCTCTGAAGGTTTGGCAGCATTTTTCATCATCTCCAACTGTTGGGCGTAAAGTTTCAGGATCTCAGACGGCTGTGTTGCAGTCTTTGCCTTTTCTAGCTCCTCAGCTTCCTGCTTCGCCTTCTCTTCTTCTTCTGCCTCCCGTTTCGTTTTCTCAGCTTGTTCGGCCTCCTGCCTAGCCTTCTCCACCTTCTGCGCCTGGACCTTGGCCTGTATGGCATTTTGTGCTGCTCGTTTGGCCATCTCCAGCTGCTGGGCATAGCCTTTGGCGAAGTCGAAGGGGTGGCCACTAGTTTTTTGGGCCCCACTCTTAGGTTTGACTGTGGGTTGTGGGGCAGTCTTGGGCATCTCCATAGGGATCTCCAGCCCCTGGTGAGCGTCGGGCATGTGGTGTGGGGCATCGGTTTTGGCAGGACCAGCCGGCTGGGGCTCGGGACACTGTTGGTAGTTCTTGGGGTAATCATAGGGGTGGGTGACCTCCATAACACCCCCTCGCGCCATGTCAATAGGCTGGGTGCCGCCTCTCGCCATCTCGTAAGGTTGTGTCCGCGGCATCTCGTAAGACTGGTTGGCTCTGGTCATCTCATATCCTTGAGGTCCTCGCGGCATCTCGTACCCGGTGTTGCCTCTCGACATTTCAAACGGCTGAGTGACGCCCCTGGTCATGTCATATTGCTGTGCGACACCTCGGGCCATTTCGAATGATTGGTGTACACCTCGGGGAATTTCGAAAGACTGTGGCACGGTCCTGGGCATGTCGAACGGGGGAGCCACACCTCTTGCCATTTCGAACGTGTGTCCGACGCCCCTTGGCATGTCATAGGGCTGGTGAGCACCCTTAGCCATGTCGAAGGTCTGATAAGCGCCACGCACCATATCTGACGACTGTGTGACATATCTCGTCATATCAAACGGTGGGTGGTCAGTGCGCGGTGTGTGGAAGGGTTGAGCCGCCCCTCTGGCCATCTCACACGGCTGAGCCTCACCCTTCGCCATTTCTCCCGCTGAATTCGACATAATGAACCGGTGCCCGTACGTATTGTTATAATTAATAAGATTGTAATTATTTAATATTATTTCAGCGTAGATAATGCATCAGTGTCATGTTAACATATAAACACTGGTATCGCTACACAGCATTATTCACAAACACAGGTATTATTCATTTTTCTATTGGATTGTATGGAAGAGAGTTTGTACTAACGAGGTTGCAGTGAGTCTGGGCGTCACAAGCCTACTACTACTGCATCGTCAGTCCTGCCCGCACTAACCAACGCTGACAGCAGTATTGCCAACACTCTCTGTCCTCTACCACCAACGCTAGCCACGTGTGGACACATATATACTCGCTCACTTGACTGTTGTATTCAGTCCATTCAGTGAACACCAATCTTTAGCAGACGTAAACACAGAGTGGCTCACACAGCCCAACACTCACTCGCTTTGTACGGTGTAAACGCGACTCACAGCCGCCCACCGTCACCACCTCCACCCACCACCCTCACCTCCCTCTACATCACACTACCACACACACCCCTCCCACACCCACACATAACACCTCCCCCCCACAATAAATACCCAATATCAATACATGAATCACCAATACGGTATATATCGAGTGGATAATGAAGTAATACACAGGGGAAGAGAACACACGGCTGGCAACAGGGGCAGGGAGTTGCCAGGCGCCACAACACCACTTTGGGTCTTGCCTACTGTACCTGGGATCGATTTTATAGGCTTTAAACTTCGCGATGTTGAGCCGCGGAAATATGCAGAGTATATTTGTTTTCCTCATTAATCCCGAATTGTAGAATGTCCATAGATCTTTCCTCACTAACGAACGGAGGAAAATATACGTTAGTAATGTGTGCAGTGGGTGTAGCATGGGGTAAGGGGGGTTAATGGGGGGATTTCGGGGAGGGGAGAGGGATGGGGGAGGGGAGAGGGATGGGGGAGGGGGAGGGGAGAAGGATGGGGGAGGTGGGATTAAAGGCTCGGATTAGGCGCATTAACGAGGTAGACGATAGGACTCACGATCACCAACGTTATTACATATCGCTTTACTCTTCCCTATAGGCTATCACACACCCATAAACAACACAAACACGATAAAGATTAAGTTAAGTAAGATAACAAACACAACAGCTAACGTAGCGAAATGTGAACAACAAATAAAGTACCAATAAACTCCAACCTCGTTTATTCGAACGTCGAGAGGCAGCTAAAATGTGTACGAATTAACCAATCTTAGTAATTCTTCCTAAACCTCTTGATGAATGGTTTTACTAATATTAAAAACATTTATTCAACAGATAAACGTTATCAGTTTATTATCTACATGTGAGTGAAGGAAGTTTTACGCTTATGGATACGGTAGAGTGAGGGAAATTTTTTTGAGTCATTTTCCTCACTGTCTGATACAGGCCAGCAGTGTACAAAGCCCTTTAAACCGAAACTCATAATGTACACATGTTTGTACTAGACGATGTACACACACACACACTGTATTATTACATGTTGGTGATATGAAGTGTACGTGTTGTTACAATTCGTTCATTAGTTTTACTTAATGAATTGTACATATACGCCTCAGTAAATCACTACTTACATACATACATACATACATACAATGAACACTATAACAAAAGAATGGAGGAAACTGCAGGGAGTCTATTGGTCCATACTGGTCAGTACCGTTTACACCCAACCCCTATCGCTCATATATCCGTCCAACCTTATATTTGAAGCTACCCAGCGTAATAGAGTTAATGATGATGTTTGGTAACTTGTTCCACTCATCCACTACTCTATTACCAAACCAGGAGGAGATGGGGGTTTGGAGGAGAGGGGCAAGGAGAAGGGGAGATGGGGAACAAGGAGGAGAAGGGAGAACGGGGGACATGGAGGAGGGAGACAAGGAGTAGAAGGAAGGGGGGCAAGGAGAAGGGGGAAGATGGGGAACAAGGAGGAGTAGAAGGAAGGGGGCAAGAGAAGGGGGGAAGATGGGGAACAAGGAGGAGAAGGGGAGAATGGGGGACATGGAGGAGGGAGACAAGGAGGAGAAGTAGTAGTTCTAATAGTAGTGGTAGTAGTAATACAGTACAATAATAATACTAATAATTACTATTCCCATAATTTGACTAAGGATAACCAACCAAGTCATTACATAATTACTTCCATTACGGTTCATTAAATGTAAACAGAATCTGATATTCCCAGACGGTCACCCATCCAAGTATTATCCAGATCCCGTGTTGTGGGCCACCTGAAGTACTGTATATATATTGTAGTGGATTTCTCCCCTACAAACGCTGTTTGTCGCTGAGTAGCCGACCCCACCAATTCCCCAGTGTATGCCTCGTGGTCTAGGCCAACCAGCGCCGCCATACATCATGGAGCGGGGGTCAACTACTAAGCCACGCCTACGCCCCCCCCCCCGCTATTTAAGACCTGACCTCGTGGTGACCTGCCTCTTTTCTACCTACACCAACCAGCCAGCAACACCTCCTCCGCCTGCCTGGTGGTCCTCGCTCCCGCTGGCGAGCATGGCGACCCACAAGCTGTCCTCCTCTGAGCGTCCTCACCAACCAGCTCTCTCTACATCACGCTTGTAACCATGCTGCCTTCCCAGCACCAAGCTGCATTGTACATCCAATACAACATGTATATAGAGAGCACATTGTGAGTTTCCTTTCTCCAACCCATCCTGAGTGTGAACCAAATATCCTGAACCCCACAAATGGTGGCTCCCGGAGATTCGCACTCACACAGGATGGAGGAGAAACTGATCACGCTCCCAGTCTTCAAGCAACATGGAAGACTGGCTAATCCACCCAGAAGCAGCTCTCATCGGCTCTACAGCTACTGTCTCTACACCGCAGGTTAGACACCCTAGAGCAGCTCTGCTACTCTAAGCAGACAGTCGCTCCTCTTCCGACCCCAGCACACCCGTCCTGCCTCAGACGCCGACCCCGGCCCAGCAGTAACCCCTGCCGCCCCTGATGCGGCCTCTGTTCCTGAGTGCGGACCCACACACCCCTCTTTTCTCCCTCAGGTACTCCCTGCTACTGTCCTGCACCCTGCTGCTGTCGTGGACCCAGCTGCTGTCACGAGCTCTCATCCGCTTCTGCTGACGCAGCCCCTGCTCCTGACCCAGGCCCACACACCCCAGCAGGCGCATCTGACGACTCTGTACCTGCTGTGAGGGAAGAACAAAATTCATCGCCTCCACACACCCTTTTTCTCCCTCTCTTCTCCCACAGATAGTGTGTATATAGACAGTTGTATCCAGCGACCGGCTCATTCACGCCATCGCCGTTGTCTCACATGAGGCATGCACCGCCCGTTCTGCCTCACATGTGCTATGCAACCCTGCAGACAACAAGTCTCCTCCACCGCCTGGAGGGAAGGGGGAGTATTGTCGTGGATTTCTCCCCTACAAACGCTGTTTGTCGCTGAGTAGCCGACCCCACCAATTCCCCAGTGTATGCCTCGTGGTCTAGGTCAACCAGCGCCGCCATACATCACGGAGCGGGGGTCAACTACTAAGCCACGCCTACCCCCCCCCCGCTATTTAAGACCTGACCTCGTGGTGACCTGTCTCTTTTCTACCTACACCAACCAGCCAGCAACACCTCCTCCGCCTGCCTGGTGGTCCTCACTCCCGCCGGCGAGCATGGCGACCCACAAGCTGGTCCTCCTCTGAGCACCCTCACCAACCAGCTCTCTCTACATCACGCTTGTAACCATGCTGCCTTCCCAGCACCAAGCTGCATTGTACATCCAATACAACATGTATATAGAGAGCACATTGTGAGTTTCCTTTCTCCAACCCATCCTGAGTGTGAACCAAATATCCTGAACCCCACAATATATTTATTCCTTACCTTTACACGTTCTTATCCAAGCCTTGTTTACTGTTCATGTCTTCATCTATTTCACCACTTATCTTCATTGCTACTTTGTTGTTCAGTGTCATTTAGTGACCAGAGAAAACCTGCCATGTTTGGTAGTGTCACATTGGATAACACTCTTCTCATAAATGTCCCAGGCAGGGTACTGAGCCCAGGACACAGTCTTTGGAGATACCTACATTATCACTGTACCACCAATATATATACTGCCCTCTGGTGACTCCTAGAAGTAAAAAATTCTCAACAAGATCTTAATTAAAAGTCATGTAATAGGTAGGTAAAGTTTTATTATGCAACAGTAGTGTGTCATAACAGATGTAATCATTCAAAATCATGTTGTTATGAGCACTTTACTACAACAAAATCATTAACATACAGTGAAAGAAAATACTAACACAAACTACAATATACAAGTACTACATAATCTGTATTTAGAGAATTTATCATCTTATGCATTTTTTTAATATACGCTACTGTCGATCTAAGAAAACTTGTACACGTATCTAGATTATTAATGGATGAAATAATATCTTGGTAAACCTTTAACAATCATTTACTGTCCCTCTAGAACAGCAGATATTAACCTTTGTTATTCTTTTGTTTCTCCCACACCTTCCCAACACCTATACACAACCATGGCTCTCCCTCACAACACTTAACTCTGGAATCTGTTATTTTGTAAAACTAACCGACGTCGTCTACTCAATTATTGCGGTGTAAGGTGAATTGATAGTCGTATTGTGAATCATTAATTACCATCGAAATAAAGTAATAATGAAATGAGTTCCCGAGTGTGACCTTTTCATATCTTTTGTGTGGCTTTTTACCTTCTTTTCCTTAAAACAGTAAAATTAATGGAAAATAAAAACTACAGTACATATACTTTTACAATATAATTCACTACCGTAGTAATTATTTATGAGTAATTGTAATTTTATTTTATTTATATTTGTCTATTTTCATCATAAATACGAATAAAATAATAATGTAAATTGAATCAGGTCTTAAATTAACCAGGGTTTTAAATACGAATCTCTGTAAGTTGAATCGTCATAATTCGAGGTTTTCCTCTACTCTACTAAACTGAATACAAAGACGCAGTACCAATAGATGTCCCGCTGCTTCTCCGACACAAGTAGTGGGAGAGTTAGGCTTTCCTTTGGGCCAACCAGAGGATCAATTCTACGTCGACTCATAATAAGACAACACCACAGTTTACGCTTCACATTCACCTTACTCCTGGACAAGGTGGAAAGATATCCCCAGATCACACAAGGATGTCAGTGGCAGATGGTAAATATTGCTAAACAGTAATTTCTCACACAACTGGATACCTACTAATTATAAAACACCAGAAATTAATCACCCACAGGTCAAAAAGTTTATCTATAGCTCCAGAAACATTGATGGGGCTCATTAACTCCCCAAATACCTCTTTGTTATCATATGAACTTGTGAGGGAAACGGCTTGTGTTCTATACAGTAATCAAATTTCTTTTCTCCGTGTCCGAGAAACTGTAAGATTGGGTTTCCACTTCTCACTTATTGCGTTGTTTTGTGAGCCCCAAGTTGAAAGCATGTAAGACATGATTCTCTTCACTTACAACTATAACTGGACTACATAAACTGAAATACCTATCATGGCAAAAAGCAACTCAGAATTAATCTAAAACTACTTTACTTTTTTTTTTTTTACAAATTACAATATATTACACTTAATGCTATAACCTGATATAGTTATTAAGGAAGAAATATACTAACTTAAAATAGTCAGCATGAAACAAGAATCCAAGTATATAAAGGTTTTGTGTCATTTTTCACAACACGATAGGACAGGTTGGACAAACCATCTTCACTGACGTCTATAGTGTGCCTGAGCTTCTCGTAGCGGTCCTCCGCCGGTGGCAGAGTGACGTGGGATAACATGACATAAGTGGCCACTCTCGGGTCGAAGCGGACAATGGTTAACCCTACTTGTTTAATTCTGTTGTACATATCATCATCTTCAGCTCCCCATCCATAATACCTGTTGCTGAAGCCATTGACCTTGGTGAAGTGGAGTTTCTGCATGGCTACGGCTCCTCCAAACAGATTTCGGTATGGTAGGTGATATCTGGCAGTTTAGAAGATTGAATGGTAATCAAATTATCATACTCAAATGTGATTCCTTAAATACTAAATATCCTTTAAAAAATAGTAAGGTTCCTTGATGTACATTAAAAAACAATACATTAATTAAGAGGTGGAGCAGAAATGTTATCCCACAGGCAGAAAGGTTGGGGGTTTAATTCTGTACTAAAGTGGGATACAGTTTACAGTATTGGCTTACATCTGTATACTCTTAAGAACAAGGTGATAACACTGTCAGGTCCACTTGTTGATGGGACCAGGTTAAACCACTAGCTGCCAATGCTCTCACTGTCAACCATCATATTTTAGTACACTTAATTTTCAATGTAATTTCCCACGGTATGGTTACCAGGAGCCATTTTGTAAACCTCGCACTTGAACTCAATTGTCATGACTTGACCTACAGAAGCCGGGCACTACTTGCTGAATTCAGGGCATTAGCATCTGTCTGGTCACTCTGTATCACAGTGAGACATGCATTAAAGTTCATGAAATTTGAGTAAAGGGAAAATTTAATGAATACTCTATTGAGAATTCTGGTAGAGTATCTAGAGGTGAATATCCTCTATAAAGTTCTGTAAGCAAGTCACGAACACTGTTACATGATCACCCTTTACCATCGCTCTCTCTCTCTTCTTTTTATATGAATAACCTCCTCACTGAGAGCTGTAGATCACCCAGACTCCCATCCTAACTTACTGTAACCCTTAAGACTGGGATACATGAAGGCAAGGCTCAGATCTTAATGGTTAGGCTAAGAAACAACTCACCTGAAGGTATCAACTGCGGTAGACATGTGTCGCGGGTAATGGGTGCAGGCGTATGTGTTATAATCATTTTGTGGCAGGAGATCAACATCGTGGAATATGAAGCAATCTACTTGATCCAGTTTGAAAAGAGTTTCTTTGAAGCCGATGTTGAATAGTTTGGCTCGGTTGAAGGCGACGTCCGCTGTCTGTTCAACTACGACGATTCTGAGGAAAGAATTTGACATCAGTAATACACACACACACACACACACACACATCACACATACACACAGAACTCTTGCCTTCCATCATGACTAAAATGAATACTGCAATGAATTCAGGGTTGGGAGGACCCGTACAATATAATTTTCATTCCTAAAATATACAAAAATACATTAAGCTATTTTGTTTTGTATTTATCCAATGAATTATAATTTATTTTAAGGACTACTGATTTGTTCATTTATAAAGTTCAATTATTATTAATGATTATATAAGATTGAGATTTATTTATAGACAATAACTATTACATGTTAAAAGAAAGATGACAGACCACACTTAAAAGAGTAACACTAAATTACCAGAAAGGCCAAGAACACTGGCAAGAGACGGTGAACACAACAGGAGGAGTATGGGTACAAGTTAACGATATCATAAAGTAGATTGTAGCCATATGCTTGATCATGACAACAAATTTAATAATGAAAGACCTAAATTTAGTATCAATGGTAATGGAAACATACCATAAATTACTAAAACCATCGGGAAATAATAAAAACTAAAAGAAAAACTAAAAAACAATGAAAAATAATTAAAAAAGCCAGAGATTCCCAAAAAACAAAAGCCTGGTGATGTTAAAAGATCACTTGTATAAAAGTGGATGATGTAGGTATTGTACCTATAGTTCAGCTGTTGTCTTGAGAGGAATGGATGCATATACGTCAGGAACTGCTGTAAATGACGACTCCTATTGCGATATGGAATAAGTAATGCCACCTGGAAAACAAGACAAAAATTAACACTCCGAGACTATCATTAAACAGTTAAGTAACACCGAGACTGTCAACAAACAGTTAAGTAACACCAAGACTATCATTAAACAGTTGAGTAACACCAAGACTATCATTAAACAGTTAAGAAATAGTAACATACTATCATTAAACAGTTAAGTAACACCAAGACTACCATTAAACATTTAAGAAACAGTAACAGACTATCATTAAACAGTTAAGCAACACCGAGACTATCAATAAACGGTTAAGTAACATCAAGACTATCATTAAACAGTTAAGAAACAGCAATAGACTATCATTAAACAGCTAAGCAACACCGAGACTATCAATAAACAGTTAAGTAACAGAAAGAAAACCTAAAAAAAAACACCTAAATTTAATAAAAGATGACTCGCATCAATCACTCACATTATATCGCGATTGACAGTCCTTAGGTTTCCACACACCACCGGCTTGGATGTCATATTTCCTCAGTATTTCTTCATCTGAGAGAGGCTCCACATTGTTGTTCAGCAAGGTGACGGAGGCCTGAAGATGAGGAGACAGTACAGGACACCAAGGGAGATCGCCGTTCTCCTTTGGTCCCACTAGTCCGACTAATTCGGGTACGATGTTACTGGCGGGTATATAGGTAAATGTTGCGTCGGTGTACTTGCCAGTTATAAGGGGCTGCAGCCACACTATGAAGTTAATACTGATTGAAACAAACCAAATCTTCTTATAATTAATTTGTCTAACTCTAACTGGCACGGTCATCTTTGGTTACTCATAGCTTACGAGTATTAACACGATGCCAACATTTTAAAAGAATGGATTTTCATTGTGTTTGTATTATATCGTTCATCTGGTGTAGTTCCCCGATCGCCTGGCATACAAATTTGATCTGGGCTTTTATCTTAGTCGATTTCTTCGTCGACTCGGACAGCCTTGCGTTCAGAATTCCGAGTTTCTTGTCGATAAATGTCGATGCTTCTTGGAGTGCCAGCTCTACGTGGAAACCCAGACCAACGTTAACATACATACGTGATACATCCTGCCTGTTGGGACGCAAAACACGGAGAATTAGGATACATATACTGTATATACTTCACATTATGTATAGTTCATTAATACACACACTACGATAGGAAGGCCTAAGACCAAACCTCACTCATATAACACCATCTGTGAGGGAATTACTACACCACGTCAAGTCCCTCATCACACTATCTGTGAGGGAATTACTACACCACGTGAGGTCCCTCATAACACCATCTGTGAGGGAATTACTACACCACGTCAGGCCCCTCATAACACCATCTGTGAGGGAATTACTACACCACGTGATGCCCCTCATAACACCATCTGTGAGGGAGTTACTACACCACGTGAGGCCCCTCATAACACCATCTGTGAGGTAATTACTACACCACGTGAGGTCCCTCATAACACCATCTGTGAGGTAATTACTACACCACGTGAGGTCCCTCATAACACCATCTGTGAGGGAATTACTACACCGCGTGAGGCCCCTCATAACACCATCTGTGAGGTAATTACTACACCACGTGAGGTCCCTCATAACACCATCTGTGAGGGAATTACTACACCACGTGAGGCCCCTCATAACACCATCTGCGAGGGAATTACTACACCACGCCAGGTCCCTCATAACACCATCTGAGGGAACTACTACACCACGTGAGTTCCTCCATAACACCATCTGGGAGGGAGTTACTACACCACGTGAGGTCCCTCATAACACCATCTGTGAGGTAATTACTACACCACGTGAGGTCCCTCATAACACCATCTGTGAGGGAATTACTACACCACGTGAGGCCCCTCATAACACCATCTGTGAGGTAATTACTACACCACGTGAGGTCCCTCATAACACCATCTGTGAGGTAATTACTACACCACGTGAGGTCCCTCATAACACCATCTGTGAGGGAATTACTACACCACGTGAGGCCCCTCATAACACCATCTGCGAGGGAATTACTACACCACGCCAGGTCCCTCATAACAACATCTGAGGGAACTACTACACCACGTGAGTTCCTCCTAACACCATCTGGGAGGGAGTTACTACACTACGAGTTTGTTGTTCAACACCTACATTAATCTGTATGTTCACTGTATGTTCCTTTACCTTTCTCTAATGAAGGCTTTTGTTAAACCACCAATGTATGTAATAAGTCATTTATGTCCAATGTATATTTTCAGCCTTCGGGCTGCAGAATTTTTTCAATAAAATGTTAATTATTATTATTATTATTATTATAATTAGGGTATGTTTACTTCACATTATGTAAACACACACTAGGATCGGGAAATAGGATATTTATATATATACTGATATTAAAAATGGGGGAAATGTTTGTTCGTGTTCGTGTACTCAAGGTTGCTAAGTGATAGTAACACTTATGTCATTGTATTAGTCGCCGTTGCTAAGTAACAGAAAATGTAGCCATCCAGGACCATGATGACATTATACATTTTTAGAGGGTAACTCACTTAAACGCTTTTAATGATGAAAGCTTCTCATGTCAAAACATTTCTAACCATAAGAAATGTATATAAACTTACAACAATGTTTGGGTGACAAATAATATCGGGCAAAACACAATCCAAGACAGTACAGTATGTGTGCTACGAATACTGGCAGTACAAAGACTGAGATTGAGCCAGAAGTGTCTCACGGGCCTCCCAGAGTTGCCAGATTTGGGGGTTTCTCGCCCACTTGGGCTTGTTAGAGTCTGTATCCTGTTAGGGAGTTTGTAAACCAAGAAATTACGACTGTGAGTGCCAACAAGTTTATGTGCACACTGCTTACCATCTTGGGGATTATTTTGCTTACAAATAAACTGAAAATTAAGCCCTACAGTAAATCCTGAAGTCACATCATGCTGATAACAATGATAAAAGTAATCGTAACTGTGTGCGTGTTATCTGTGTGTGTATGTGTGTTATCAGTGTGTTATCTGTGTTATCAGTGTGTTTCGCATGTAGTGTGTGTGTACATATTTGTATCTACATATACGTACACACATTTTTGTGCTATGAGATTAACATGTCGTGTATAATAATAAAACTCACACACTAAGGGGTGAAGAAGTGTGTTGAAGGAGTGTGTTGAAGGAGTGTGTTGAAGGAGTGTGTTGAAGGGGTGTGTTGAAGGGGTGTGTTGAAGGGGTGTGTTGAAGAGTGTGTTAAAGGAGTGTGTTGAAGGGGTGTGTTGAAGAGTGTGTTGAAGGAGTGTGTTGAAGGAGTGTGTTGACAAGAATCGGACCTGAGGCTTGAAGAAGGTAGTTACACAGATTCTGACCAGGACAAAGCTGAGGCATTGAACAGCTTCTTTTCCTCGGTGTTCACAAGAGGATGAGATCAATGTTCCTAGCTTATACTACAGACGAGCAAGGGGGGGGGGTACCTAATTGAGGTGTATAAACATCTCAAGGGGCACCACACAGTCGAGTTTCCTTACCTGGAGCTGGCAGATGCTCGTCCCACAAGGGGTCACAGCTCGAGGTTAAAGAAGCCGCAAGTCCAGAAAACTGTGAGGGGTAACTTTTTCGGAGTGAGAGTTGTGAGCTCTTGGAACAACCTGCCAGAGAGTGTTGTGACGGCACCGAGTGTGAGCTCTTTCAAGACAAGACTTGACCAACACTGTAGAAGGTTCAGGTACATGCCCAGTACTTGCCAACAGTGTGTAACAGAGACGTGACCGATTGCCCAAGTGGCTAACGAGCAGATCGGTGGTGAAGAGGATAAAAGTAAAAAGTATAAGAAGCAGTGACAAGTGTGTGGTGAGATGGTTGAGGATAACCTGAACCATAAACACACACACTGGGGGTGAAGGAGTGTGTTAAACATATAAAGTGTGTGCAAAAAAGATAGAGTGTGTGTTACAGTACTAGTAATACAACAAGGCCTTACACATGAGCTTGGACGTAGAAGTTTGAGCCCAGGTCGACTTGAGTGCGTAAACCTTCCTCGCTGGGAGCCTCAGTCATGCAGTCAATGGTCTGTTTCAGCTGGGAGTGAGCGGCTATTTCCTCGAACAACTTGTCACGGTCCTCTAGCACGCTCCTGAGTGATGGGTCAAGCATCAGAGCAAACACTCACGATTATTGTGAAGTAGGGATAAACTCGAGTCACAATAAACACATGAAATAGCATTATATCAATAGAATATTACTTCAGGAGGAAAATATATGAGGTAGCCGCGACCACCAGAAGGAGTTGTTTGATTTTGTTCATTTTTTCCACAGATGTTCTGATCATTATAGTTAGTACCGGGTATTTTATAAGAGGCAACAACTTTTTATTTTAATTATAAGTATTTTTTTTTAAAGATTTTCTCTATCCACAATTATAAATCACCAGTAGTGGACAGGGCATGAAGGATGAGAGAAATTGTGGGGTAAAACACTGAAAAACTGATCATATGACACAAAAATGATGTCTCTCTACATGCTTTTTACGTGAAGAAATTAATTCTTTACCGTAAATACTCCTCCGAAAAATCAAACGAGTCACCACGTGTCACCTTTTTCTTTGCAACTGACTCGCTCAGTCCGAGTGTACTCTCACGACCACAAAAAATATAAATTACACAATGACGCTTCAACAAAGTTTCTTTCATTGGTAACAAATATCATAATAAGTACTTTCTGTTTAATATGGCAGGGGGTCTACCCCCCAGCTAAGAAGTTAGGTAAGGTTAGGGAGGTTTATTTGGATGGTTAGGTCAGGTTCTAGTAAATGTTGCCTCTTTTAAAATACTTACAATAACGTCAAGAACATCTGTGAAAAAAATGAATGAAATTAAACAACTCCTTCTGGTGGTAGTGGTGTGTTCATGCATCACCTTCTTCTCAAGCTTATAATGAAAAAAAAAATAAGATATGTGCAACAGCCCACCTGGGTACAGGTCATCGACCCACAACAGGGCCTGGGGGGGATAAGAGTGAAAAGAAATTAAAAATAGAAGAGAAAAAGACTTTATTAATCTACACCACATAGATGCCAGAAAACCAGCTTTTTGAAGTAAGAGAGATTGTAAGAATATGGAAACACAAAATAAGAATAATAAGGAGTCTGCAATAGGCCGGTTGGCCTGTGCACGGCAGCTCCTGTCGAGAGTTACTACCACTCTCTATCATCCATAAATCTATCCAGCCTCCTTTTGAAACTCTCCAGCGTTCCAGCACTTACTACAAAGTTGCTAAGCTTGTTCCACTCGTCCACCACCCTATTTGTGAACCAGTTCCTTCCTATCTCCCTCCTAAACCTAAACTTATCCAACTTAAATCTATTGCTACGAGTCCTATCCTGCTCGGATATTATAAGAACTTTATCTATATCTCCTTTATTGATTCCTTTCACCCACTTAAATACTTCTATCATATCTCCCCGCACTCTTCGTCTTTCTAGGGAATGCAAGTTTAGTTTCTTTACCAACACCTGATACACTGTCACACACTACAGGGGTCCTCTGGCTCTTCAAAAACACAATCTCTGGTTACTGCACAAAAGAGAGTTGTACAGACAATGACCTACTTGAAAAAACAGATCACACAAACGAAAAATTTGCTAAATTGAAAATGTTAAAATTAGAAGATATTAACACCTACTGCTGCACCATCTTTGTTTACAAATCTATCAATCACTTGCTTGACAATAACTATTTCCAGTTCCAGAATAATCAGAGATACAACTTAAGGCACCCAGAGCTACTAAGACCACCCCACCATGCGCTCCTCTCAGTCCCAGACCTCCATAAAATATCACAGTGTGAAGGTGTGGAACAACTTACCCCCACCCATCCCAGCAAAGACTACGCTCCCTTCCTTTAAATCATCTCTTAAAAAATATCTATTGTCTAAGTATTAATATTTCTTGTAACACCTACTATATTTACAGTACCTGCTCATATTATACCATCAAAACCGTTTTATCGGAAATTTTCATGTAAATAGATAAGAAATTACCATTGCAATAAACATATTTGCCAACTAGACATAATCCTGACAGCTCTGTCCTCTTGTTCAACCTTAATACTGTACAACCCAGGTTGTACTGCTCCCCCATTATACTTATGTTTTTCAATTCCACTGTAATTAATGTACAGTACAGTATATACTTATAATATAAATAAAAAAAGATAATAAATAAATAAAATAAATAAATATTGAAGTGAAAACCGTGCTAACATTATGATATGTTCTCATTACCACCATGCTATTGTACTATTCCAGATGATACTAATTGTTACATAATAGTTCCTTGAGATAAATGTATAGTATATATCAGGTGCCTAAAAGAGAGCCCAGATTCTCAACTGGCTCAGCCATGTTAATATTGTTATTATTATCCACTCTGTATCTGTGTTTTTCTGTCTAAATAAACTGTTTCAATTCAATTCAATTAATCTATCTTGATATGGAAGGTCTCTAGGTTCCGGAATAATTTTCGTCATTCTTCGCTGCACCGACTCTAGTGAACTGATATCCATTCTATAATAAGGGCACCAGAATTGAACAGTATAATCGAGGTGCGGCCTGACTAGCGCAAGATATAATTGCAATATTACCTCCACACTCTTATTACTTACACTTCTAGATAAAACCTAATACTGTTTTACTTATTTCGAACATTAACGCACTGTTTTCTAGGCCGTAGGTCCGGGCTTACAAGTACCCCTAAGCCTCTTTCACAAGTCGACTTCTCTAGGTTGATGTTGTTAAGGCTGTATACATTGAGAGTATTTGTTCTTCCAATATTAAGTACGCTGCACTTGCTGGTGTTAAATTTCATTTGCCATTTTTCTGACCACTCCTGCAGTTTATTTAAATCCTCCTGTAGTGCATTTGCATCCTGCCCTGAATTAATCTGCGGCCCTATTTTGGTGTCATCTGCAAACTTGCTTATGTCACTGCTGACATAAGCATTCCACAGTTTGGCTGTGTGAGGAAAGAAGGAGGCACTATAACGGGTTAATCTAGTGTGACCGACATCCAGAGAAATGGTGGGCACCGCGGGCAGGACGAGTGTTACGACCCCACAGCCTTGCCGGCGGTACACAGGATGCCAGATCCACCGAGCATTGTCCGTTAAAGTACCTATAAAAGAGAGAGTGAAGCAACATTGCGGCAAAGAGAAAGGGAAGAAAGATTGTTAACTAAAGGAGGAGAGTTAATAAGACAAAATGCCTTTGATTCCACCCTATCTAACAGTTGGACAGAAGAGCCACCCCAGATATGAGAGCAGTACTCCAAGTTAGGACAAATGAAACCCTTATATACTTGAAGCAACTGCTCAGGAGTGAAGTAGCTACGGCATCTCTAAAGCATTCCCAACTTTCAGGAAGCAGCTTTAGCAATGTTGAGGATGTGTGGCTTCCATGACATATTAGTGGAAATGGTGAGGCCTAGCATATTTATTTCAGAATTTGGCAGAATGATTACGTCCTGAAATGTGATTGGTGGGAGATTTTCTATTTAGGAAAGTGTAATTAGTAAATACTGAGTTTTATTACAATTGAATTTAACCAAGTTTCTACCTCCCCATTCAGAGATGCTGTACAGAACCATATTGATAGATGAAATGATATCAGCTCTAGAAACATATCTAGTTTGAGAATTAGGGCGAAGGGAAAATTTTGAAGAATCACCCCCCTAGCTTATTTCACCTGAAGATTAACTACTCTAACATTAATGGGGTGGGATGAGATTAGATTAAGTTAAGTTAGGTCACAAAAAATATAAACATTATATCTCACCTCAAGTCTTCCCTCAAAACATTATTCACAAAATGTTCATACTTCTCAAATTTCTCTCTGTCAGCCATCATACTACAGTCTGTACACTCTGCAACAATAAACACAGTAAATAACAAGGAAATAAAAGCACAATAACAATAATAACAATAATAACAACAGTAGCACTAATAACCCAATATACGAGCCATTACAAAAACTATCTAAATTACCTTAAAAAACAATAAAAACAACCACTTAACCATCTCTAACCACACCATAAACAAGAACAACAATAGCAACACAAACCTTCTAGTAATTACACCACACTAGATGCTATTAAACTCAATTTATAAGAGAAAAACTAAAGTAATAGCCAAGAGACTGTGTCCATAATGCTGCTGCCTTGTTGACACTCACACGGAGTTACGAGAACGAGGAGATTAATCCGGATTCTTCTTTGTTGACACTCACACGGGGTTACAAGAACGAGGAGATTAATCCGGATTCTTTTGGATTTATAAGACGTTCTTTTACCTTATTATAGTTAGATAGATAGATAGAGAGAGAGAGAGAGAGATAGATGGAGATAAAGAGAGAGAGATAGATAGATAGATGGAGATAAAGAGAGATAGATAGATAGATAGAGATAAAGAGAGATAGATAGATAGATGGATAGATGAATGGGTAGATACATAAAGACACTCGTATAAGGAATTGATAAAACACACTGATGGATTAAGGAGAATTACCTCTGAGTCATATAACATTCTAATACTTATTATGGTAAAATAAATATACTATACTTTGGTTTATTTAATTTTGCTTTATTTTATCCTCTTCGCTTGGGCGGTGGGACTCGGTGGGGTCTCCTTTACACACTATTACTGGGCGTGGGTAATGGGTCCCGGGTCTCACTGGTCTGTTACTGGGCGTGGGTAATGGGTCCCGGGTCTCACTGGTCTGTTACTGGGCGTGGGTAATGGGTCCCGGGTCTCACTGGTCTGTTACTGGGCGTGGGTAATGGGTCCCGGGTCTCACTGGTCTATTACTGGTCGTGGGTAATGGGTCCCGGGTCTCACTGGTCTATTACTGGGCGTGGGTAATGGGTCCCGGACTCAGGCGACCCACGCAGACGATGGCCAGACAACAGCTGAAGATGGACTGCTGTGGGAATTAGCGAGACCTGCGGGAATAGCCACAGAGGACTCTTACAGGAGGTAATGTAGTTATCCAAAGTAGTGGTTGTTCCTTTCCCTGCACAACAGAGGGTTTTGGTCCCCGAGAAGCAGAGTCCTAGTGACGCAACAACCACGGGAAGGGTCCGATGGCCGGCTTTTTCGGTGTTCCTGTTGATTAACGACAGACTCCTGTTTTCCTCTTAGGTATTTTGTTCTATTACTAAGGCGTGGTGTTGCACCAACCCATGCTTAGCCTAACCGGGGGCGTCAGAAGCCCACCCCCAGACCTCTTAAAGGGGCGGGGAACGATCAAGAAGGAAGGACCTGCTCTCGTAAAGATGGCGGACTGCCTTTACAGGTCAGACCAAGGTCAGTCTTTATCCTCACCACTGACCTGTCCGTTAGCCGTTGGGGCGGTCGGTCACGTCTCTGTTACACACTGTTGGCATGCACCGGCTCCTGAACCTGCTCCAGTGTTGGTCAAGTCTGGTATTAAAGAGCTCACCGCTGAGTGATGCTCAAAATATACCTTACAAAATAAATTTGGAAACGAATATAATATTCTTTACGATATTGAAATTAATTATTATCTACTTTGTATTAAGAATAGATATATCATAAATGAATTACACGCTTATTTATATAGAAGCATAATAGAACATGTGAATTGGAGAAGCCGTGTGGGGCGGCGCGGCAGGCTTATAAGGGCGGGGCTTGCTGGTGACCGTAGATGTCTCCGATTACGAAGTGATAGGCGTCCACTGCCGTCCAGCCGATGATCGTGGGCGTCCACCACCACGCCCGCTCTGTCCCACATCTTCGTTGTGGGGTCCTGAACTCGAGGCCCGCTGGGAGGGGGGCAGTGTACACCCTCGCCTCTTGGCCTTCCAGTATTAGGTCCTGGGCCTCTGACATCTGCAACTCCCTCTGGCGTTGAGTCTGTTTCAAGTGGTGGTCCACGGGGTAATGCTGCCTTGCCGCGGGCACCCCGTCCCTCAGCTGTCTGCCCGCCACCAGCTGGGCAGGAAACTTGTCGACTCCACGCAGAGGCGTATTTAGGTACTGGAGCAGCGCCTGGGCCACCTTGGCCGCCTGTAGGCTGCCCTAGCTCCCATATTGCCGCGTATCAAGCGCTTGACCACCTTCACGGCAGCTTCTGCCCTGCCATTGAAGTGTGGGTAGTGATCGAAGGACACCCGCACCGTCACTCCCCATTTCCTGATGAAGGCCGACATCTCGCTGTCCAGATTCTGGGGCGCCCCATCTGGCGAAATAGTTTCTTAGCTTCGGGATGATCGTCCTGACAGTGGTACTGTAGTGGATTTCTCCCCTACAAATGCTGTTTGTCGCTGCATAGCCGACCCCACGAATTCCCCTGTGTATGCCTCGTGGTCTAGGTCAACCAGCGCCGCCATACATCACGGGGGTCAACTACTAAGCCACGCCTACCCCCCGCTATTTAAGACCTGACCTCGTGGTGATCTCTCTCTTTTCTACCTACACCAACCAGCCATCAACACCTCCACCTCCTCCGCCTGCCTGGCGGTCCTCGCTCCCGCCGGCGAGCATGGCGACCCACAAGCTGTCCTCCTCTGAGCATCCTCACCAACCAGCTCTCTTCTTCTAGCTACAGCCAACAACTCGTACTCCACAGTACCGCTCGGGAAGTGTGCCATCCAGTCAGCGTATGACATGTCCAGTCAGCCAAAGATGCAACGACCCCACCCTAGATCTCGTTCTCATAGTTTTACTTGGCAATACTTGGTAAAGTAACTTTGTATTTAATGGTGATTGTGATTGGTGGATCTATTTTTGGCTTGGTTATACTTCTGGCAGAACCTTTCGTCCCAGTAGACCTTCATTACTTCCAGCCGCTTCAGCAATTCCCTGAATGGCCCCCTGACTGGCGCTGTGGCCATAAATGGGGCCAGCTAGTTTACCAGCCCGTGCCACAAGTGGTTGTTGGTAATGGAGGGCTGTGTTGGCAGGAGGGAGTTCTGACTGGCAGCCAGCCGGTCCTCAGTGGGTGTGTACTGTTCCCACCCCAGGTGTGATCTCACCAACTCTGCTTCTCTCTGGCAAAACTGGAACTTGTCCGGTTGCAGCATGACTTCCTTCTTGGCACACGTCTCCAGGAGGTCAGATGTGTGCCACAAGGCCTGCCCTACACTTTCATCGTACAACAACGTCTTGTCCACACACTGGAACTTCCGTGGAATGTCCTGGATCATGTATTCAAATCTCCGGGTGTACGCGTCCCAGGCAGCATACTGCCTCATAAGGGCACACAGGTACTGATACCTTCCCCACAGGGTAATGAAGGTGATGAGGCGACTACTGTCCTCGTCTAACTCTACATGATGAGAGCCCCCGGAAGCGTCTGCCACCATCTTGTACGAGCGTCTCGGTACTGGGGTTAGCCACATTTCTTGGCCACGGCCACCATTCTAGTGCACCACATCGTGAAGTGGGCACCGAGTACAGTACCCCCCTCCTGACGTCCTCATTGAACTGGTGTTTCATTTCAGCTTCCCAGTTCTTGGGCACCAGGTGTGTGGCACATGTGCGGAAGTGCATCCGGGGTGAGGTGGATGTGGTGCAGGACACCGGCCATCACTGGGAACAGCGACCGTGTGGTGTTGAACGTGGATGCAGAGAAATGCTGCTGCAGCCACTCCTCCAGTCAGGCAACATTCCTCTCCAGCCGGAAAAGTATACACTTAATGGCCGAGGTGGCAGCACCACATCCTCTGAGGAGAGCACCTCAACAGGAGCTCCACCCCCACCGGGGCCATAATGGGCAGGAAGGTCTCAGGGAGCAGACCACAGCCCCTTGCAGGAAGCCAGTGACAAAGACGACTGTACAAAAAACACTTCCTGCAGGGTAAACGTCCAGTCTAAGTCAATGTGACACTCGTGGCTTCCCAGGCACTTGACATGAAGATTTGCCACGTCCCAGATCCTGCTGTGCTTCTTGTTCAGTGGGATGGTTGAGAGCTGAAGTAGGGCAGAGCCTGCACCACACACCTGAGCCCCTGTGTCTGCCACAGCCAGACAACTTGCGGTGGTTACCGACACCAATAGAGATGGGTGTGGGGCCACCTGTACCCTTGCCACAAAGGCTGTTCCAGAGACACCCAGTGCTGCCGTGGTGGGAGGGGCAGTGATGCCCCCTCTATCTGTCTGCTCCTACAGCTGTTTTTCATGTGTCCAACTATTAAGCAGTGATGACATGTGATGATCTTGGGCCATAGGGTCTGCCACAGGGACAAGCGGAGATGGACGGAGGCAGGCATCCTTCACCGGATGCTCCTACATCTGGCCCGCCTGCACCTACCCCAGCGGCGTTGCTGAGAGCGAACCCTGCATAAGCACCATCGTCCCTGACAACCGCCATGTACGAAAGACACTTCTTACGCAGGCAGTCCACATCTGTATATACTCTGTAGTTCTGAAACAGTTCCTTTTTCAGAGCATGGTGCATGGCCCCACCATGAATTTTCTTGCAATCATGTACTCAGAAAGGTCACCATGACACCTGGGGCTCCATTGGCTGCTGTGAGCACCTCTGGAAGTGAGCGCTCATTGTCTCACCTGAGGTCTGCACATCCCTATAAAACACACTCCACATGACTGCCTGGTTGGTCGACCGTTACGTCAGGCTGCCCACTGAGTCCAGAGCCTCACTTATCTTGAGGTTCTGCCACTGACTGATGGTGTATCTGGCGTCCAGGGCACACTGTAGGCAGTTGTGTGGGACTGCTACCCCATCCGACCATCCACTGAGAGCCAGCTAACGTTTCATCGACCTTCTTCAAGAACGGAAAGCGCTGAAGACATCTCCGTCCCACATTTCTCCGATGCAGCTGACGCAGGCACTCTGTTGCCCCCGGTAAGGGCGCCTCCACCTGTGCTGACAGACAGGGTGGCAATCTGGGAATGCAGGGCTGTGATGGCTGTCTGTTGAGCTTGGATGGTCTGCTGGGCGGTCATGTCCTGGTGTGAGTGGCGTCGGACAAGGCTTGCCAGCAACCTGAAGTGGGACTTACTGGTGGTTTTTGGAGTCATGTCGACTTAGCTTGGCTCCTACAAGATTCCTTGACTGTCACTGCACCATGTTGGGTCTTGAAGAAAACATGGCAGGATTTTTGTGGTTTATTGAGGCTAGAGAACATGTAAGCATCAAGTCAGTCAGATCTCAACTGCCCGCGACAGCCACAGGTACGAGCAGTGGTGCCTGACCCCACTGCCCAAGATGTTGTGCAGCTCGACATCCTACAACCTTCTCCTCATGATGGCCCGAGAACTTCAGCTCATTGTCAACATACAACCCTAGATCCTTTTTACATATGTGGGAGGGAAAGGGATGGGGTTGTGGAGGGGATGACATTAGAGGAAGGGGGAGGGGATGGGATAGGAAGAGAGGGAGGGAGGGGATAGGGTAAGAGGAGGGGGAGGGAGGGGATGGGATAGGAAGAAAAGGAGGGAGGGGATGGGGTAGGAGGAGGGGGGGAGGGGATGGGGCAGGGGGAGGGAGAGGGGATGGGGTTGGAGGAGGGGGAGGGAGAGGATGGAGGAGGGGGGAGGTGAGGTGAGGTGCCAACAACTATCTCTCAGGTATGTTCTGACAGGTGACCTGATGTTAATAATCCCCTGGTATTTGTCCACACTGCCCTCCTTTGCCTCTCTCTTCCCTCTCAATTTAATCTATATTGTCTTCATGATTTTTTTTAATATCCATTTTATTCGTGGTCACTTCGCCTTCAAGCATCACTTATTGGCACATGTCTGGTGAGTTTATTCCTATGTAAAATTTACTAACGACCACAAAAACAGATGAAGCAAAGCAAAGGCATTTATAGTAATGGTTGCTGGTGTGGTAATCCAAGTGACACAACCTCCAGACCCAAACACACCCACCATGTGTGCTCCTGCTCATAAAATCCTGGGTCGTCTCTTGGTTTTACTTATTGTTCAAGTCTCTGTCATTCCCATCAGATGAGATTTTTAAACACAACAAGTTAAGACACGGTTCATAACAATAAGATACTGCTCACACGCCTGGGGTAATGAGATACATGGGACATTGGTACTAGGTGTTTTATTACGAAACCTTGGCCCCTTTGGTACTACCCACCGTCAGATGGGTAGTGCAGAATGTATAAACCAGCTATATTACAAATGTACAGAAATTATTGGTCCTGCAGGGGGCTACCATGTAACACCAGGCAGGACAGAGAAGCTGAACCTTTGGGGTGATCATCACACAATATATATATATAGACTTGTTACTCTCTCCTGCTAACAACAGAAAGCATAAATGAGAACAAATCTTTCACATAAGCTAATCATTATCCTGGCTGACACTTGATCATTGCAACGTTGACTATGTTGAAATGATGCCAACGCTATTCAACTTTTATTCCACATGAAACAATGTCAAATGCCTGCTGGGTTACTTGCTTTGGTTCATTGTATTAAACATTCACTTGGATTACAGAAAATAATGCTTGAAGTATTCTGTAGTTCACGCATTATGAAGTATAAGGAAAATAGCATATACAGTACAGGTATATATATACGTATATGTATATATATGAAATTATAGTATATTCTTTGTATAAGTAAGTACAGTATACCTTATATAACTAAGTATGCTCTGTAAAACTGGTTCTCTAATAACGAAGGTGTGAAGCCTTACACAGACTTGGTGGATGAGAGTCTACATAGGGTGTACATAGCCAAGGTATATTACATTGGTGATACCGAAGGTCAGATTACTTATAGATTAAATCCTAAGATGTGATTCTGTTAGGTGGAAGGAGTATTTTCATGTGGTTATCATCAGACAAGACAACACACGATGTCCATAAGACTGACACGATTCAACCATACATTCATTCAGCCACTCAGACTAGACAACACATTCAGAAAGTTTTCATTGGTTCATTCTTAATCATAAAAAAACCACACACAAAACTTCACACAAATTATCAAGTAATGTTTGACCGCTGATGAAAATAAACACTCGTTTCAGCATCCGAGTCCGAAATACAGTTTGTTTACTTCTTTACCGATACATCGTTAAGATACAAAAATTTGAACAAACATTGAGTAATATAATACTATAGCAAACACATAATTATGACAGATTTAAATTTTATTTTAGGACCAGTTTACATACCTAATGATGTTTGCAATATAATCTTTTACCCTCATTGAGCCAAAATTTATTGATAATCACTGAGTGTGAGCTCATTCCAAACCATACTTGACCAACACTGATGCAGGTTTAGTTCAAGTACTTCCAGAAGCCAGTACGTGCCCAGTACTTGCCAACAGTGTGTAACAGAGCCACAAATGACGGCTCAACTGGTTAAAATGTGTTGAGGATACAGTATTGCCATATTCTCACATATACTGGAAGTTATAATGAAATGTCATATCTTAGTAGCATTAAAGAAACAGCTTTAAAAACTGTGATGAACTGTACAGTGTGAGCCCATGTATATCACATACTAGAGAGACATAATATTGAACATAAGAGCAGTGAGAGGTGGCCCACTGTGTTGCCTCAGAGGACTAGGCCACACTCTTATGCCTGCTGTCACTGTTTAGTCAATAATGGGGAACTAATATTCCTTTTCAGACATTTAGTCACATTTACTCATACATTCAGGACATTAATAGTGAATGCCACTAAAAATAAAAATTTACAGTTATAAATATTATTAGTAATCTATGCACAATTGTTGACTAATTCTAAGATATACCAAAATCTAGTTCTGTCATCCTGGTAGACAGTTTAATGTATATACTGTACTAATATAATGAACTTAATACAATATAAGTCCTATATTCAGTGGAATGTATCAACATAAACAATGCACCTGTTTTGCAGTTTTACAACAAAGACGTGACGTGTTAGTGTTTCACCAAATTTTATTGCAGGTCTGTTAAGATTGAGCTTCTGTGACCCCTCGTTTGAAACATTCTACCCTTGATAATGGCACCGTGCTGCACTCACTTCAAGTCTTCCGCAACACACATGGTAACAAGTGATTCTTCTGTCTCAAAATTATAAACATTTAAAATAGACTTTAATGTAACTTAAACAGCTTGTGTGCCCAGTGTCAGTAGAATATTATTATTATTTTTCGTATTAAAAAGAGTCAAATGATTAGACAAAATACAATGACCTTACTTTAATAGTGTATCACAGTTGAACAACATTTTTGTCTTATCTCGTTAAGTGAAGGTTCCTGACTCCTGGGCCAGCCATGTCACAGTAGAGTACAGTAATGTATTAACATTTCAGGTTTGTTTTAAGGCAACCTGAGTGTATCCTATTTCTTAATTATCTTAAAATATTCTCTGTTTCTATGTACGTTGTAAATAACCTTTGCTTGCCATATAACAGCTTCAGACACTTGTATATAAACCTAATGGTCAGATCCTTATAGAGTACAAAGTCTCAAAAGAATTACACAGCATAAAACATTAGGAGTCGATCAATAATATACATTCATTATAAGTATTCTAGTGTCTATTACTTATTTTACTTACAATAGTATAAAGTTTTCCTCACAAATGCAGATATGGATCTTTATCTGAGGAAACTTATGTTAAAAGTTTCTTCTACTGTACAAAGGTGGTGATGCTATGCCACACCTTCAGCAGTGTAGGCACAAGACAGTCAGTTCTCAAAAGGAGTCAAGATCGTGTTCGCTGAGAGTTTCACGTGGTGAGAGGGACGACAGGTGGCAGTACTGTGTTGATGGATTCGGTACAGCACTGTGTTGAGAAGTAAGAACCAAGTATTAAGTAAAACTATTGTTGGCAAATTAAAGCTGGGATAGTTTAAAGTTTTTAGTACAGTTTAGGATTAAATTTGTTTGTAACTGGACTTTGATGAGTAAGATGTAGATAACAGTTGCCAGATCAGAAGGATAAGTCACACAGTATTCAGGGCAGTGAACACGATCCATCAAGGTCCACTAGACTCAGTAGGACTCACATCCCCTCTCCACAAGTCATCAAAAGTTATAGACTTTATTAAACTTAACAGCTGTATAAAAAATGTTTCCTGAATGTGGAGGCACCGAGGATGTGTGTTAGTCCTACTGGGGGGGTCAGGTCAGTCAACATCACACAGTAGGTAGTGGATGTCTGATGCTGACCATTATCTGGGTCCTGAGGGGCTATAACTAGACATCTATCAGTCGCTCTCTGGTACAGTATAGAGGCAGACGTGTTAACCTTCACTGCCTAAAGAGCAAGTAACAAACATCTATGATCATTACCACAAACAGACTGAGAGTTAAATATTAGTGCAACACCAATACTCAGATGAAAGTGTATGTGTGTGTGTGCTTCCTCAGGACCTCAGAAGATCCTCACCCTGTCTAGAAGTCCTCGATGTCTTCCTCTTGAGAATCCTCATGTCAGAAGTTCGTGTCTGGGCGGCGTTTGGCGTAAGTGGCGGAGGAACCATAGGGGCCAGACCAGTCGGTGCGCCACGAGTCGTAAATGTTGATGTTGTAGTTGGGGTTGTATCCTTTTCCTTTGCTTGATGGTGGCTGGAAGATAAAGAAAAGATAATTACATAAAATTCTAATAATTTTTATTCTTGTATCATGTTGACGGTTTCCTGCTTCCACAGACACTACTCTTGGTAAGCCACGACAGCCACCATGTTGTACTGGGCTGTATAATCTCCTCCAGTATTTCCTTCATCCTATCCTTTCATCTCCCTCTTGGTCTTCATCTCGCCCATCTACCTTTCAATTCCTTTACCAATCTTTCATTTCCTATTTTCTCGCTATTATCCATAACTCTTTAACAAACTCTTGGTCTAACACATCATTTAGTTTCACACGATCCAACTAATTTCTGTGTTTCTTGTTTCCTTCATCTAATTTCCCATCTAATTTCTGTTTTTCTTATTTCCTGCATCTTATTTCCCATCTAATTTCTATGTTTCTTATTTCCTGCATCTTATTTACCCAACACACTGCTCTCAAACGTGTCTCTTCTCTTAAGTCTAATTTCGTCTAGTCTGTTTCATCCCGAGTCCACCAAGCTCAGTATACAGTACTGTCAGGTAAACGATCCCTCCAGAATGCAGGTACTACAGTACATTATTCCTAACTGTACTGTACTTTTGTCTGATACAGTCTCCACTCACTTTTCATCTCAACATTTATCACTCACAAGTACAGAACACCTAATACAGCACACCATAAGGAAGTACATATGCAGTCTCTTTTGATTTTGAAGACAGAACTACAGGTCATTTTAGTTAATCATTAGACCACAAAACACACTTACCTTCATTGCTCTTCTGTCGTTGACTTTCTCATTCCATATGGCGTCCATGTCATAGAGGCCGTCCATGGCGTAGTTGTCAACTCCAGCCAGATGCGCCTTATTCAGTTCATTGAGCATCTCGGCGGTGAGAGGAACATCGTGGCGCTTCTTAACACGAGCTCGGTTCACCAGCTGTAAGAAGCAACACGGTGCTACAGTCTTGTGAGAGGTGGATAGTTTCTGTATACAATAGTAGGTCAAGTGTGGAAGATAAATGAATTGTTTTTTTTCTTTTTTTTTAAGAATTAACAAAAAGAAAGATATAGATATTTAAAAAGAAGATATAGTTTGGGTGAAATTAGAAAACAGCAAAAATGTAGAATAGACAAAACAAAAGAAGAAAGATCATGTGTCATAACCCACAGTAGAGTCGTTGAGCATCTCCTCGGTCAGTGGCACGTTGTTCGGCTTGATAACGTTGCAACAGGTACGGTTGACATACTGGCGGAGAACATGCAAAAGAAGAGCACAAGTTAAAGCCTTGTGCTAGGAGGTATTAAGACTCAAAGTCCCATGCAAGGAATGATGAAAATTATCCAAATATACAGGGTAGTTTGAATTAGTTAAGGACACTGCCAGAGAGTTTAGTTATGAGTAAATAGAATGAAATGAAAAATAAGAAATTCTGGCTAATTATGGAAGGTATAAGTATATACATGTATATAGAAAAAAGTCATTTATCAATCCCATGCAGAGAAACGGAGGAACTATTTGTAGTGAGAAAGATGAGAGAACTGTACAACTAGTAAGTTCTATGCCTGGGAGAACAGTCATGCATAGGAACCACTCATTTAGTTATTCTGTAAACAATAATGAAAATTTTATTGTAAGTAAAGCAGAATTTTTTTTTTAAAGAACTGTACAGTATTAAAGGTACAACACCATAATGAGATAATATAATTTTTTTTTTTAGGGTTTAAATCAGGTTCTCCTTCAAGTAATGTCTGATTAGCCGTCGTCATTCCTTCTTCCGTCAAATACTTACGAGTAATGACCGAGAGACATCTGCTGAAGGAGTACCTGCATGTTGCTTTGATCATCACATAAATGGTTAAATATTACGGTCTTTATGTCTCTCCGCGACCCTAAGGAAAGCTACGGAGGAATGACGACTCACGACGGTAATCCCGAAGATGAGGATGAAGAGGAGTGACGCCAGGCCGATGACAATAACAGCTATGAGCCATTGAGGGATGAGATAGTCGTCCTGTTCTTCATTTACGATCTGAGCTCTTTCGCGTAAAACTGAAAACAAAAGATGAAGATGATTAGAAGTGAGTAAGAGAAAAGATTTTTACTGGATATAAATATCTGATGGTTTTATTAGTTATCTTTGATTATATAACCTTATTGTTTGTCATTAGTTGTATACCTGCATTGTCTAGGTACATTAGTTGTATACCTGCATTGTCTAGGTACATTAGTTGTATACCTGCACTGTCTAGGTACATTATTTATATACCTGCATTGTCTAGGTACATTAGTTGTATACCTGCACTGTCTAGGTACATTATTTATATACCTGCACTGTCTAGGTACATTGTTTGATGAGGAGGACAATTAAGAGAATGAAAATGGAGAATGAAATTTGAACAAGTGGTTATGATACATCCATGAGGGTATATTAATGTTAAAAACGTCAACCAACACTCACAAAACAGCGTCACTATTGCAGCACGGAATGAGAGAAAGAGAGAGACACATATATATGATTATCTGTCTTAAAGCATTAATACTGTAAAGTACATATAATGCTCACCACTAAGTACAATGAATTATTCCACTGAGTAAGATGTTAATCATTTAAGTGCACTGACTTCACCTCTTGAGTACAATGACTTAATTCTTAGAGTACAATGACTTAACCCCTTGAATATAATATCTTAAACCCTTGATGTAAGATAATAGCTGACTAGCATTTCTTCTGAGGTAATAAAGAGGTAGGCAAGGTATACTGTACACCTCTTGGCTGGCTGGGGTGCTAGTCCATGAAGTTTCTTTACACCAGTGAAATCCAGTCATAAATTTTACCACCCCAGATATTTTAATTGTGCACAAATACTGTTTTTAGTTAATTTGGCCAAGGATAATATGCTATTATAGTCAAATATAAAATTAATCATGTTTTTGTAAGTAAAACTCTTTCTCAACAATGTACTGCAGTATTGAGGGCATATTTACAACCTCTTTTTTCGACTAAAGCATCTGATGGCTTTGTCAGCTATCCTTGGTTAAATTGTCTCACTGTTTATTATTGTTGTACATCTGAACTGTCTTGGTACATGGGAAACTGCATACATGACAAACCAAATGTAAACATATACAATGATTTTATTGAATGAGTACAGTATTATTATTATTAAATTATTATTAAAAACTTCAGTACTATAGTTTGTTTTTGTATTGTGTAATGGAGAGCTTTGTACAGTAATACATTTAGCTTTATTATGTGCAAAAAAACTTACCTAGAAAATCTGTGCCTTTAGGGTCCAGTGTGTAGTTTCCAAGGAAGAAAGATTCGTTGTCAGCCGCCTCCTGGTTGAGGATCTCCTTGAGGTCCATGGTGTCGAGGGTCGTCTCTATGTCTATCAGGTGCAGGATGTAGTCGACCAGAACCGAGCCGGGGTTGAAGGCGTCGATCTCAACCCTCTCATACCAGGGCGCCAGTTCACTTCGCCGGTACAGAGAATCCAGCTGAAAGGAACGTTAGTGAGGAAGAGTTAATTAATTCTCCCTGTATGTTTAGGTGAAAACTTACAGATTCTGCAACAATATAGAGAATTATAATGGTCAAATGTTTTAAGAAAATTGGTTTAGGCATCTACGTGTTGTTTAAGTATACAGTCGAGGACCACAGTTTGCTCCCTGAGGTGAAACTGATCCACTGGAATGAGTCTCTGGACTTACTTACCCTTGACTGCTTACTCCCATTGGTGGTCGATGCTGCTTCATTTGGGGCGGGAGCGAACTTTTGATGCCTAAACCAATTTTCTTAAATCATTACAATTCTCTCTATCTTCTCTTCTCACCTTTCATCACACTTCTGTTGTTGTTCTGGTGTTGTATAATGGCATTGTTTCTGTCCTTGGTCAAAATTCATTATTATTTTCAACTGTTTGTTTATTTGCACTGTCTATGTACCTGCACTATATACCTGCATTGTCTGTGTACCTACACTATATACCTGCACTGTCTAGCACCTACACTATATACCTGCACTGTCTGTACCTACTATATACCTGCACTGTCTATGTACCTACACTATATACCACTACTGTCTGTGTACCTACACTATATACCTGCACCTATGTGCCTACACACTACCTGCACTGTCTATGTACCTACACTATATACCTGCACTGTCATGTCACTGTCTACACTACACTATATACCTGCACTGTCTATGTACCTGCACTGTCTATGTACCTGCATGCATATACTACACTATATACCTGCACTGTCTATGTACCTACACTATATACCTGCACTGTCTATGTACCTACACTATATACTACTGTCACCTATATACCACTGTCTATGTACCTACACTATATACCTGCACTGTCTATGTACCTACACTATATACCTGCACTGTCTATGTACCTACACTATATACCTGCACTGTCTATGTACCTACACTATATACCTGCACTTGTCTATATTTACCTACACTATGCCACTGCACTGTCTAATAATACCTACACTATATATACCTGCACTGTCTATGTACCTACACTATATACCTGCACTGTCTATGTACCTACACTATATACCTGCACTATGTACTACTATACCTACACTGTCTATGTACCTACACTATATACCTGCACTGTCTATGTACCTACATATACCACTGTCTGTCTGCACTATATACCTGCATTGTCTGTGTACATTCTGAGCTCTATACAAGAGGTCCCTGGGTTATGTACTCTGGGCTTACAAACATCCTCACATACAAACGTGGTTCCTTAAAACTAAACTTTAAATTTGAAGTATTTTATTTACATGGTGAATTATTTTTTTACTTTCATTTATTGTATTTTGTCATTTTATTTCTTCTTTTTTCTTAAATTAAATGACTTTAGATGTATATAAGGACTTAGGCTATGATATAGTGGGACTTTAAGCATTGGTGTGAAAGTACAGTGTGCACATAGGGTACGTGGTTCGACTCGAGTACATTTTTGACTTAAGAACGTCCGTAGGAACGAAGCTCATACATAACCCGGGGACTGGCTGTACATGCTGAGCCAATTGTAAACTTGTACGATGATATCACTGAATATACTGAGTATCTATTTATCAAACATCAAAAGGTAAGAACATTATTAAAATCATTGTAGTTTATTAAAGCTTTACAATACATTACAGTACAGTACCTCAATTTCCACTGTGTTAGCAAGTTCCTGCCACTCGAGTGTGTCTCTGTTGGCCAGCTCGGGACGCCACTCTGTTCCCTTGACGATCCTCAGCGTGGCAGCCAGACGACACTTGGCTCCACAAACACCTGACACAGAAGTATAATATTAAATAACAGTGACACCTCTATTTAATGGACTATATGGAAAATAATGTCCATTATATCGAGGGTCTGTTTAATAAACCTCCATCTAATGAACTAATATGAAGAGAGAGGTCCATTATATGGAGGTTTCACTGAAATTGATTAAAATCACCAAAAACTGTTTAATGAAATGTTTTAATTAAAGATACAGTATAGGTATTATGTTAGTAGTGAAATTTTTAATGTCCAAACTAGGAATGATCTTGTGAATGGTTTAACATCATTGTGGATTGCATTCTCTCTTCATCAGTAGCAACAAAAGTGCAGTCTCTGAAAAAACTACCTCTACTTGGTGGGGGGGGGGGGAAGAGGAAGACATTGATGAACTTCAGAATGAACAGAATGAACACTGGGACTACTGTTGTCTCAGTAGTGTTGTCAAAATCCACAAGTCATATTTTTTCAACACAATTTTGTATAGATAGTTTTTGATAGACTGTACATCTTTTATGAAGAGAAATATGCAAATATGAGTTTATTAGACAATTAATTAAAATAACATAATATTTTTTACTTCATTATATACAGCATTAACCCTGCCTCAGTAACCACTACTTCAGGAAGGTTATCTTAATATATATTCTAATATGTAAATGTTGTCTAGTTTGTGGATTTCTTTTGTTACCGGGAGTTGTGATTCTGGGAGTGGTTGTCGTAGTGGTTGTAGTCGTGGTGGTCGTTGTGGTGGTGGTGCTGGTCGTTGTAGTAGCATCGTCTTTAGGAGCCTTGGGGACAAAGCCGGCCGGCGTGGCTCGTGTCGTGGTCTTCCAGCCGGTGAATTCTGTCGTTGTTTTCATGCTGGACGGAAACGAAACAAAATCGTATCAATACATAATACAGTCTTAGAAATTCTTATATATTTACTAGAAAATAAAACCTTAAACCTGTTACCATAGATTTTCTTAAGGCAAAATCATTATAGTCTTCATACATACAGTATAATGATAGCGTGAAGCTTGAGAATATAATGTACACTGTCCCTCTCCTCTTCTCTCTGTTTTAAATCTATTACAACTTTTAACACGTAATTCATTCAGTTTAATACAGTCATTATACAGCAGTTTAATATTTACTTTATTTAATTATCCAGTGAACAGAGCAAAATGATGGATTACCTATCCCATATGTTCCTGAAGGTGACCTTGAGTGGTGGAGGGCCAGAGGGTGTTCTTGCCACTGGCCTCTGTGTTGTGGCGTATGATGCAATTGGACGGCGAGGGAACACCAAACCTCGGGAAGCAGTCTTTTTCGTTGTGGTGGGCGCTTCTGTAGTGGTCGGCTTGCTCGTTGACTCACTCTCAGAGGGAAGTTTGTAGCCTGGAGGCAAGAATTTGGATATGTCAACTGGCTCAATTACTGGACTCTTTTGTGCAGTGACCTTCTCTGTTGGTTCTTCCTCGAGTTTAAATCCCGGAGGTAAAAATTTGGATATGTCAACTGTTTGTATAATAGGAGCTTTTTGTGAAGTTTCCTCGGGTGGTTTAAATCCCGGAGGTAAAAATTTGGATACGTCAACTGTTTGTATAATAGGAGCTTTTTGTGAAGTTTCCTCGGGTGGTTTAAATCCCGGAGGTAAAAATTTGGATACGTCAACTGTTTGTATAATAGGAGCTTTTTGTGAAGTTTCCTCGGGTGGTTTAAATCCCGGAGGTAAAAATTTGGATACGTCAACTGTTTCAATAATTGGACTCTTCTGTGTAGTGCTTTTCTCTGTGGGCTGTTCTTCAAGTTTATAATCCGGAGGCAAGAACTGGGACAAATCAACTGTTTGTATAATAGGAGCTTTCTGTGAAGTTTCTTCATTTAGTTTATAACCCGGAGGCAATAATGAAGCCGGGTCCACAGTCTTCACCTCAGGAACTGTTTTTGGTGAGCTCACTACTGGTAGTTCTTCTGAAGGCTTGTTGTCAGGAGGTAAGAAGGCAGAAATGTCTACCTTTGATACTACTGGTAGTTTTTTAGTTGTACTGTCAGTTAGGGGCTCCTCTAACAACTTGAAGCCAGGAGGAAGGAATGAAGACAGATCTACCATTTCAATATTGCTGGGCACATCAGCCTTTGGAGCTTGTGTAGTTGTTTGCTCAGTCGTGGTTTGGAGAGCAGAGAACAGATCAAACAAATTTGTATCTGAGGTAGTAGTGGAGGTCTGTGTGGTAGTGGAGGTCTGTGTGGTAGTGGAGGTTGGTGTGGTAGTGGAGGTTGGTGTGGTAGTGGAGGTTGGTGTGGTAGTGGAGGTCTGTGTGGTAGTGGAGGGAGGTTCCCCTTGTGTTGGGGTGTAGCCTGGGGGAAGGAAATCTGATGAATCTTCAATTAAAGAAGATTCAAACAAACTCCCTACATCGAGTGCTGTAGAACCAGGAGCTGGTGTCGTAGCCAACACAGGGGTTGTGGAAGTAGCGCTCGTATCTACAACAGGATCCTCTTCTGTTTTGTAACCAGGTGGCAGAAGGGGTGATATATCCTCCACGTGACCCACATTTAGTTTGGCATCAGTTGCTGTCACAGTTTGGTTTTTGGTATTAATTTCAATATCAAAGAGAGTCTCAATACGCGGTGGTAGTGGTTGTTCAGAGTGGCGGATGATTTTCTCTGTAGTGCTTCTATCATTGGGGGTGAAGTCACTTGGCTCTGGTGTGGGTGATGGACCAGAGGTGACAACTGGAGCCTCATTTACAGTTTCATATATGTCGGACAGAGATCGCCGAGTGGTGGTCACCGGGGCCGGCTCGGTCGTCTCTGGAGGTGGAGTCGTGGTTATAAAGAAGCTTATGGGTGGAAGAGGTGGATTAGTGGTAGTGGCAGAGCTGTCCCCAACTCTCACGCTATGAGATGTCTGCACTGAGGCCACCACCACAGAACTCTCAGTAGAGTTTGTAACACGGACTTCAATATTTCTCTTGGGTTCTTTTTGCTCATTAAAATTAGAGAATGATATTTCTGGACTGTGAGTTAAAAGACGAGAGTCACGGCTGTTGGTGCTGGTGTTGGAGAGGTTGTTTGTGATGGGAGGAGCAGGATCACCCTTTGTTTCCACCTTTAGCTTGGCAATCAGCTCAGACAAGGAAAATCGACCACCAGAATTGTTTCCATCGTCAGGTTGAATTGGTTCACTCGGTTGGCTCGGTTGGCTCGGTCTGCTCGGTCTCTCTGCGACGGCGGGTCTTCTGGCGGATCTGGTGTCTGTGTCTGACGAAGAAGAGAACCTGAAGGGCTTAGCAGTGGTGGTATGTAAGCTGAACCGTGTGGGCTCGGGTGGAGATGGTGGATCTAGAGGCCCCAAGTTACCAATACCACCCCCTTCACCGGTACCATTGTTATCTCCGTAGTAATCGTAGTAATAATCATCGTAGTAATAATAATCCTCGAGTAATTTGTCGTCGGAGAATGCGTTGTCATCGGCCTTTGGTCTGGTGGGTGAGGGTGTAGTGTACTTAGTGTTTAGAACAGGACTGGTCTTGGTCCAGGGAGTAGAAGCGGTGGTAGTCGCTGGGAAGGAGAAAGCTGCTCCTGGGAAGGGTAACAGCGGTCGATTAACGCGATCCGCACGATCCTGGAAAAGGGAATATTTATTGAATAGTTACGGAGGATTTAAGACGTCCAGTAAATAAATAAATAATTATCTTAAATATGCAGAGTGTAACAACAGTTTTCAAGCAGCCATGTTAAGTACTGTACTGGCAACCTTTCTGTACAGTACTATCATACACTATGTTACAGCACTTGTGTTACTATTGTCATAAAGAAACAAACTTAAAACTATAAGCATCATTATAGAATCATTAACTAGAATCATAATACAAACTTGGTAATTTTAAGGGAATATTTTGAAAGAAAAATATCATTCACATTGCTAAGATAAGTTTATAAATCACTGTTATTATGTAGAGAGGAATGTATGGTGGGACTCGAGTAATTATAATGTTGTGGTCAAGATTAAGTGATATAATTAAATATATATGAGTTTATTATCAATATACATTAGATTTATATAACATCTAAAACACTTTCAGCAATTTCAATGAATAAACTAAATTTTACGAGTAACTTATTGGCTGTGAATGTTAATTGATTTTGTATTTAATATTAGGAAGATAAAAATCATACTAGTGAAGATTATAGTGTCTGTGAAGATTATATTTTAACCCTTTCATTATAATCCTAAACTTATAGTGACTTAATCCTTAAAGTATAGTGTCTTAAGCCCTTAAATGCAATGGTTTATTCCCTTGAGTATGATGATATTATACTCTGGGGTCATCATCATACTTGAGGAGTTAAGAATCTAATATACTGGCTCACACGCTTAAAGATTTAAACCATAGTTCTCAAAGGGTTAAACCAGTCTTTAAAGGGTTAAACCATAATTCTAAAAAATGGGTTAAACTACAATCCTCAAAGGGCTAAATCATCCTCATCAAAGGGTCAAACACTTTTTAGAGGACTCTGAATGGCCGTGATAATCAGAGAAACACAGGTGTAACAGTACAGTACCTGAGGAATGTAGGTGATGCGGGAGGAGGTTCTTCCATTGGTTGGTTTTGGCGTCTGGAATCTGAACCTGGTGGGAGGCTTGGTGGTGGTGGCCTCAGTGGTGGGCGTCTCTGAGAGCTGTAGCGCCCGTACGAAGGCATTGAGTGTTCCTGTGCTCACCGACCGGGCGTCTGCTGTGGAAATGATGAAATATTAGAATAAGCAGATAAGTATTTACTATTAACATATGGCGGATGGTGTGTGTAGTGTAGTAGTGCTGTAGTAGTACTGTAGTAGTAGTAGCGAGTAATCAAGAGCATAGACTTGTACTATTCACTGTAATCTTCCCCAAAATAATAATTAAAAACTATATATATTTGGGTTGAAAGACCTTGTAATTATAAAAGAAATGTTTAGAATATTAAAAAAAATGTTTTGAATGTCACCAAAGATAGTTTAAATGTTTACAACCACCTGTCTCATAAGTCAACAACCTGTGTTTTAAATGTTTATACAAGGCAGTGATACGTTGTTCTTGGTTGTGTGTGAATGAGAAAGCAAATCTCCTCTTGTTTTGCATCACGCTAACACAAGACCCACAACGACACGAGCAGTAAAAGTTCCCTTCAGGCTTCTCCACACATGACAAAAATGCACTTTCATGGTCGACAATAGTGGCTTTCTTCTGGCCTGATAGTAATGGGTTGAGTGGACGTGTGAAGCCGAGCGAGACACACACACACACACACACACACACACGCACACACACACACACACACACACACACACACACACACACACACACACACACACACTGCTGGTTATATCAGTGAAAGCAGCGTTGATCTGATGTTATTATTATACTATATATAATTCTAACAAAGCTTCAACAACTCGGGTCTTTAAGCAGTGTTGTAGTTTGTGTTATAATGCATCACTGTACCAACTAACGTCTTTAAACAAGTGTTCTAAGTTCATCAAGTACAGAGTAAAGATAAACACTTTCTCCGGATGTCATATTTCTAAACACTGAAATTTTACCTCGGGTCCTGATCGACCAGCGTGACATCTGACGCCAGCAGGAGGGAGGGAGGGAGCAGCTTCGTCTGGTCACGGAACACACCTTCGCCAGTCACTGTCTCCCTCATCTGAACGTTTCAACACATACTGGTGAGGCTATTACTAGTCACCCTGCATGACGCCACAGGCCCCATCTACCAACTGGCTTTTATGTTGCTATCATCAGTCAGTCAGCCACCCTGCATGACGCCAGGCCCCATATACCTACTGGTGTTCATGTAGCTATCATCAGTCAGTCAGCCACCCTGCTTGACGCCAGGCCCCATCTACCTACTGGTGTTCATGTAGCTATCACCAGTCAGTCAGTCACCCTGCATGACGCCAGGTCCCATCTACCTACTGGTGTTCACGTAGCTATCACCAGTCAGTCAGTCACCCTGCATGACGCCAGGTCCCATCTACCTACTGGTGTTCATGTAGCTATCACCAGTCAGTCAGCCACCCTGCATGACGCCAGGTCCCATCTACCTACCGGTGTTCATGTAGCTATCACCAGTCAGTCAGTCACCCTGCATGACGCCAGGTCCCATCTACCTACTGGTGTTCATGTAGCTATCACCAGTCAGTCAGCCACCCTGCATGACGGCAGGTCCCATCTACCTACTGGTGTTCATGTAGCTATCACCAGTCAGTCAGTCACCCTGCATGACGGCAGGTCCCATCTACTATCACTTGCTTTAATCGCTGTTGGTCATCAAGGCTCTGACCAGTGAAACCTTTAAACACAAGTGAATGTTTACAAACACCAGACACTAGTACGGAGTGAAATCTGTCAGCTCGGCGTTAAATGTTCACTACACCCTCTCCACTGACACACATAGCGAGGGATCTCCAGTTATAATTGGCAGAAAGTATAAAAATAACAAAATTATCCTCCCATGAACGTACTCCGTGACGCGTGAAGTCATAACGTCACTGTATTTGTAAACACACTCGTATATACAAATAAGACAAGGAACTGTTTTTGCTTGTTGATGGGATAATAACACTAGTTGGTCATGATCACCACAAGCTAACAGTACTGGCTGGTCGCGTCTGGGTCTTGCTGGCCACACACACACTGGGGACCTGGGAGATAAATAATCATACACACTACTCCACTTCAACTAATACACTGATGTAATAGACTAAACAAGACAGACAGTAGTACTAGAGGATCTTAATAACAGACATCAGCGCCCCTAGTGCTAAAGGGTGTAAAGTTGTAAACACAGCCACATAATTTAAAGTTTCAGTTAAATCCCCATTGCACCTGTTATAGATCCTATGTATGTGTGTACAGTATGTTGTTCTTCATCCCAATAACATAGAACAATAATAACATAAAGAAAACCCCATAAATGTTTGTTTTTCTCATCACTATGTTTTCCTTTCCCCCTGGATAAAAATAAATCTATCGTGGTTGTTATCTTCGAGAATCTGTACAATTAACTGCACAGAGCGAGTGTGTGAGTACAGTTACTCGGTGGCCATTTGACTGTTTTCGTCTCTGGCCGCGAGAGGCGACACGTACTCCATCTTCATTGTGAAAAGGTTCCAAAACTATTAATTTCCTATATTTCGAAATTTGGAAATTATTAATTTACAAGTGAAGATATTTATAATTAAGAAAATTTAATCGGTATATCTAGTTATTAGGAAGTTAAGTTGGTGATGTAGGAGGGTGTAGGAGCAGGGTGTTGGAGGAGGGTGTAGGAGCAGGGTGTTGGAGGAGGGTGTAGGAGCAGGGTGTTGGAGGAGGATGTAGGAGCAGGGTGTAGGAGGAGAGTGTAGGAGCAGGGTGTAGGAGGAGGATGTGGAGCAGGGTGATGTAGGAGGGTGTAGGAGCAGGGTGTTGGAGGAGGGTGTAGGAGCAGGGTGTTGGAGGAGGGTGTAGGAGCAGGGTGTTGGAGGAGGATGTAGGAGCAGGGTGTAGGAGGAGAGTGTGACGGCCACAGCTTCCCACACGTAATATATTGTTGGATCGGTGTTTGGTGCTGCGAATATCACCTATGTGTGTGTGTGTGTTACCCTACCCTACCATATCTTCACTACCATTAAAATCGAATTACCGAGAGTTGCAGAACTATGAGAAATTATCCAGGAAGACATTTCTCATAAGACATTAACAGCAGGTGGAAGAGACGGGTGAGAAGGAAGACGAGAGAGAGAGGGAGGGAAGGGGTGGGTGAGGGAGGGGGAAGGGAGAAAGGGACTGAGGGAAGGGATCGTGTTAAGGACTCGCTGCACGCTAGGTAAACACAGCCAGGTGAAGGGGTAATTAACTCCCCCCTTAGGCCTTACGTAACCTGTACTTAAAGGAGAGGCAATGGGTGGAAAGCCTTGGGGAGATGGGGTGATTAACTCATTCTAGGGGGTGATGGGGAGGGGAGGGATGATGGGAGAAGGGAAGAAGAGGTTATTCCCAGTACAATTCACGAGATAGAGGACGTGTACTGATGGTTCTCCTGTAATTACAACTTTCCGGTACCTGACGCTGGGGAGTCCTGCAAGGGTGAGCCGGATCCCTGTCTCATTTGTGTATATTAGAGAGAGAGAGAGAGAGAGAGAGAGAAGAGAGACAAACAGGAAGAGGAAAATAAAATGAAAAGAAAGAACAGAGCGACTGAAATCAAAGAAAAAGAGAAAGAAAGAGAGATTAGAAGATGAAAGATAAAAAACAAAATGACAGAAAAACAACAGACGTTCATTAGGTGTGTGTGTGTGTGTGTGTGTGTGTGTGTGTGTGTGTGTGTGTGTGTGTGTGTGTTTAGTGTGTGTGTGTGTGTGTGTGTGTGTGTGTGTGTGTGTGTGTGTGTGTGTGTGTGTGTGTGTGTGTGTGTGTGTGTGTGTGTGTGTGTGTGTGTGTGTGTGTGTGTGTGTGCGTGTGTGTGTGTGTGTGTGTGTGTGTGTGTGTGTGTGTGTGCGTGCAACACTTACACAGCAACTTGGGATTTCAACGGTGCACTGGGGAGTGATCACTTAAGCCCTGTAGTGAAAAGTGTGGTTTTAATCCCAGAGAACTTTTATAAGTGTCTCGACTGTCCCACACTTAAGACACTGTTACTTTACTGGATACTCACTATAGACTCTACAAAGTGAAGTAATGTTAAGTGGTATGACCTGATAAGTTATTAAGTGTTTTGTAAGTGTTCTGAATACCCCCAACAAACTCCAGGTAAAAGAAGCTGGGGTACCTAATCCTCAAGTACAATAAGCTTGGGTAGCGAATATAAGCTGGAAAGAAGCAAATCCTCAGGTGATCGCGACAAACAAATGACGATCGGGGTACCCAACTCAACCTGAGGCCGCCGTCCACACACGCTCTTACATAACCTTGGTATATATATGATAATTGTAGCAGACTGGACCTACCCGTAACCAAGCCAAGACCAGTTCCTCCTCGCTCCGGCCCCAGTCGTGTACCTGTGCAGAAAGAAACACCTGGTTTAGTAATTTGGTTTAAGAAATGTCATAGTGTGGTTTAATATTTGTTGATGAATGGTTTATTATCAGGGTTTAATTAGGGATATTATAAACTATAGGAATGTCTTCTGTGGCGTATCTCTGGCCTAGAAACACATCTTCAAGTATCAATATCTCCTCCTGTGACACATCCCTGGCCCAGCAACACATCTCGCAGCACCTAGCACACTCCCAGCACCTCCTCCACAGCTGCGGTAGTCGGTGAGAGGTGAGTGATTCGGACAGTGGCGCAGGATTACGACACTGCCTCGCAAAAGTCAAGGCCTCCCACCACATCTGATACCCAGTGTGTGTGTGTGTGTGTGTGGCAGAACAGCTTATAGGAAGTGTTACAGTGGGGGAGTACAAGAAGGTGGGTAAATGGTATTTGTGAAGGAGTCATGACCTGTGGTATTGGTATGTGGTATTTTTGGGTCTCGTGTGTTTGAGAGTACCACAACCCTGGTACTGGTATTGATCGGCGTCCATGACTCTTAATACCATGAATACCATCAATACCACCACTACTACTACTAGCACCACCCTTATCACTACTACTACCCTAATCAGATATCACCCTCACCATCTCCATTACCACCACCACAGCTACCACCATCACTACTACCACCACAGCAGGTTGGTTAAGACAGCGGCCTCCAACAGAAAGAGAAACTCACTCAGCAACACTTAGGAAACCTCAACTTTCCCTCCTCCTCCTCCTCCTCCTCTTTCTCCTTTTCCTCCTCTTCCTCCTCGTCTTCTTTCTCCTTTTCCTCCTCTTCCTCCTCCTCCTCTTTCTCTTCCTTTTCCCCCTTCTCTTCCTTCTCCTCCTCCTACCAAAAGAATATGTCCTGCCCTCTCTCTCCCATTCACGAACCCTGGGACTCATGAACCCATGAATCCGAGACACCACACAGTTCCACCATCCATAGACCCCAACAATGAGTGGTGTCTCGGATTCACGAGCTCATGAGTCCCAGGGTTCGTAGATATGGGAGAGAAGAGTGACAGGAGGTGGATATTTGCGGGTCCCCATCACGCTGTGTGGGTAGGTGTGGCAACCTCCCTGATACTTCACTGTCACGGGATGTCTAAAGCACTGTACTCACTGTTCAGGGGTCCGTAATATCAAGGTTTTCCAGCAGTGATTAGCAGGAATGGGTAGTCGCGTGTGTGTGTGTGAGCAGAGACAAGATATTCAAATTACAGAATGTATGACTGACAAGCACCAAGCGTAACCACACACCTGCCTTTGACAACTCCGTAAGACATAGTAATTATCCACAGGTATACACACATATCTAGCATAATTACCTGAGCTTTATGACATAGATTACCTGGTGATTCATCTACTTGTCAAGGGAAGATACAACCCCCTTCCTTCCCCCTCCCCCTCCTCCTTTGTCCCCTCCTTCTTTATGGGGGGAGGGGGGAGTAAAAAGCGACGACCCCCCTCCTCCCTCACACACTCAAAACACACTCAATACACACACACACACACCTGCAGATGTTGACACCGTTGTACACCTGACGCTCTCACTGTGCGGTTCAGCGGCCCACAAACTGATGTACACACACACACACACACACACACACACGTACATACTTATATATTTTCCCGGGATGACACTTATGTACACAGAATAGCATGTGCACACTGGATGACACAAGTACACATGACACGCACACGTACGCACACGAAATGACACAAGCACCCACAGAACACGCACATGTCACCCAAGAGATTACACAAGTACACATGACACACACGTACACAAAATCATATACGCACATGACACGCACATATGACACGCGGAATGACACAGCACATAGGTTAACGTGCACATATGGTGTAATGAATACAGAAATATGACCCAGGGTGCACACAAGACTGACCCCACACTGCGTTATTGTGCACTGTTGGTGGTACAGGTGCACTCTAGCCTCACATTACGCCTACCTATACACCACGCCCAGCAGTGCACCGGGTAGGGTAGGGAGCAGACCGCCTCCAGCAAGGGCGGTATCGGAAGGTCACCACAAATCCCCGCCACCCAGCCACCACCCAGCTGCCACCCACACTCCCACCCAGCCGCCACCACACTCCCACCCAGCCGCCACCACACTCCCACCCAGCTGCCACCCACTCCCACCCAGCTGCCACCCACTCCCACCCAGCCCCTCCTCACTAACCTGCCTCATCAACCTTATGTGTGTTCTTATGGATATATGAGAGAGAGAGAGAGAGAGAGGTATGTGTGTGTGTGTGTCGTGAAGTCATAGTAATCATGTCAGGGGCGGGGTAGAGGGCAGGGTAGGGAGTTGGGATAGGGGCAGGGAGGAGCAGGATGGGGTGGGTAGGGAGCAGGATGGGGAATGAGGGAGGGATGGTAGGAAGGAGCCGGGCATTTCCTCTCTCTATACCCAGGACGCCAGGACGTGTATTTCCATTATAGGAGCGTTAAGGTCCACACGCCCGGGCAACGACGCTCCTGAAGGATACCCCGAGCTGCAGGGGGGGCACAGTGGGCATTGAGGAGGGGTGATGTTAGGTGATAGGCGTCGGGTGATAGATAGGCGTCGGGTGATAGTAGTTGAAAGACATAACGGGAAAAGGGAGGGAGGGAGGGAAGGAAGGGAGGAGGAAGAGAAAAGAACAAGAAGATAAAAGAAAGTGGATGAAAAACAAAGACAAAAATAAATGGACGTCAGCATGAGAAGGGAGAAGAGGAGGAGGAGGAGGAGGAGGAGGAGGAGGAGGAGGAGGAGACAAGATTCAAAGAGAGGCCATCTGGAGGTGAGAGGTGAGGTAAGTGAAGGAGGTAGTGAGAGAAAACCTCGTAAAGTTTAGTTAGGTTTGGTTAGGATTAGATTAAGTTAGATTAGGTTAGGTTAGGTGAGGTAAGAACATCTCACACGTGAGACAAAGGCCGTATCTTCCCGGGACTGGTACACATACTGGGTAAATCTTGAGGTGTTTCCGTGTGTACGTGAGGACATCAGTGTGTGTGTGTGTGTGTGTGTGTGTGTGTGTGTGTGTGTGTTCAGGACGTTCAGGACAGATAAAAGACTGTCTACCTCCTCCCTCAACCCCCTCCTCGCTCACCTCCCTCACCTTCCCCCTCCCTCCTCCCTCACTCCACCCCCTCCCTCACCCCCCTGGCGCCACTCTGCATGATACGGTGTCCTCAAGGTTTCGCCCTGCCCCTCATTTTTGGGTACCGAAGAGCCACGCCCTCCCCTTACCTGCCACGCCCTCTTGAACCTCCCGTCTCACGCCCCCCTGAAACCCACATCTCACGCCCACCTGAACCTCGAGTCTCACACCCACCTGAACCCCACGTCTCACGCCCACCTGAACCTCGAGTCTCACACCCACCTGAACCCCACGTCTCACGCCCACCTAATCCTCGAGTCTCACGCCCACCTGAGGCTTACGTCCTGGTCCCCGCCCACGCCCTCCTGAAGCTCACGTGTCCCCGCCCTAATTGTCTCACCTTCCTGGCTACGCCCTGACTGTGTTTACCTTCCTCCCTCACCCCCCCCATCACCTCCCTCACCACCCCATCACCTCCCTCACACCACACCCAACACACTACACCCCATCACACCACACCCAGTATACCAGTCACTACACTACATCCACTACACCATCCAATACACTATAGACACCACACCATGCACTGTAAGGGTACAGGTTATAGGGAACGAGAGAAGGAAGTGGAGGAAGGAAGGAAGGAGGTGGCAGGAACAGAAGAGAAAGAGGAGGAGGAGGAGGAAACGAAGTAGAAAGATAAGGATGAAGAAGAGGAAAGACGAAAGAGAGGAGGATAAAGAAGAGGAAGAGGAAGAAATAAGAGAACCTCCTCATAACACCCGCGACATCCAGTAAACACACCACCACTACCACCGCTACTACCACCACCACCACTACCACCACTACTACCACCACCACCACTACTACCACCACTGCCACCACCACCACCACTACCACCACACCACTACCACCCCATGGCCACCACCACCACCACTACTTCACCACCACTACTACCTCATTCACTTTCACCACCTCCACCACTACCACCACCTCACCACTACCACCACCTCCACCACTACCACCTCCACCACCACCTCCACCACCACCACTCATGCTGCATTACTCTCGACTGTGTTCTGAGACAGCGTGGCGTGAGTGATCAGAAGGGGGGTATACGCCACCACCCTAAAGGGCTCTGAGATGGTCTGGGGGGAGGGGGGTCAAAACAACGGTCCAGAAGGTGGGAGGTGGAGGAAAGGGGGGGCCACAGCCTACTTGTGTCCCTAATTAATCAGGGTTTTGTGGTCAGTAATGCACAGGTAATTTTGAAAGCTCTCAACCTTATACTGTGTTAGCTTATTTAACCTCTTGGCTAGGTTTGGTTAGGTTAGGTTATACCACACCTATGCACACCCTTACCACACACCCTCAACACACCCAAAACACCCTCACCACACCCCACACAGCCTCAACACACTCACTGCTGCACCACTAACACCATAATAATAATAATAATATTCAACACAACCATCGGGCTTACGGTTCCGCCTGTCTGGATGCCAACAGTTAGCAGTTGTCCTTGTGGGTACGTGGCTCCCTCCTTCCCTCCCTCCCTCCCTCCACCTCACACTAACAACACTCTCCATCCCTCCCTCCACCTCACAAGCACCTCCATCCCTCCCTCCACCTCACACTAACAACACTCTCCATCACCCTCCCTCTTCCCTCCGCCACTCCGGGACGTCTCCAACAAGTACAGGTGTGGTGGAGATGGCCGGAAGTGGGTCTTTGGAGGAGTACAAGACGGCAGGTGAACCAGCTGTGGACAGGCGGGTGTACAGGTGGTGATGCTGCTCTCATAACCAGCTGTGGCCACCAACACCTCCACCACCACCACCTCCAACACTTACCACCACCACCTCCA